ATAGGAATGGAAAAACAACCTTAGAATTTTAAAGCTAAGGAAGAGATTTTTCTGTTTTGGGTGTGTGTGCCATAAAATATTGTAGCAGTTGAGCAATTAAAAGTGGCTAGTGGGACTCAGGAATTTAATGTTTTAATTTGTTTTGTTGAAGTCAACCACATGGGGCTTCTGTATTTCAGAATGCAGTAACTATTATACTAGATGTTGCAGCCTCAAACTATTAAAATTTAACATTGAGTATTTTAATGTTATGAAACTTTCAAAACCTTTAGACAAAAATCTGAAACTCCAGGGCACCTGGGTGGCTCAGTTGGTTGAGCAACTGCCTTCGGCTCAGGTCATGATCCTGGAGTCCCGGGATCGAGTCCCGCATCGGGCTCCCTGCTCGGCGGGGAGTCTGCTTCTCTCTCTCCCACTCCCCCCTCTTGTGCTCTGTCTCTAAAATAAATAAATAAATAAAATCTTTAAAAAAAAAAAAATCTGAAACTCCAAAAAGAAAATAAGTCAGTTTCACTAATTAAAATATTTTGTTGCAAATAATTAAAACTTAAATATAACTCAGTAAGATATATCAAAAAGAAAACTTACATATTACTGAGTTAGTTTCACCTGAAATCTGCCAACCTATTCATTATTTGTATCAGGATGTCATAAAGAAATCCCAGATTATTGTACCATTACAAGCAAAAATACCTTTATAAATAGCCATTTCTGAACAAAAAACACCAATAACATTGAAATAAAAGGAACTATATTAAAAAACTATATTAAAATATAGTTTTCCGACAACCAAAGGAAAAAAGAAAGCATCACGTACTAAAGCCACTTCCATTAAATCAGAAACAAGACAGGAATACCTTTTATAGTCATTTACCTGTCAGTATTCTCGAACATTATTTTGGCAGTTCTAGCCATTGAAATAAGACAGTAAGTAAATGAGATAATTCGTATAAATATTGGAAAAGAAGAAAAAAAATTTTGTTTTCAAATTATATAATAGAATGCACAGAAGTTCAGGGATACTTTAGTGGAAAACAACTAGAATCAATAAAAAATTCTGAAATGGTGATATATGATAAATATATAAATACTAATAGCTTTCTCTTTATTAGCAGTCATCAGTAAAAAATGGAAATGACCAAAGAAACAAAAAAAACAAACATTCAACATAATGATAAAAACTATAGACTAGGTGTAGGAATAAATGTATTAAAGAAGACACAAAGCAAAGCTGTAGATCCTTTGTGAAGAAAATTTGGTATTATAAACAGTCCTTCCTCCCCCCACATTTTTACCTTCAGAATTTTTTTGGAAGGATTTATTTGAGAGAGCAAGGGAGCGAGAGAAAGCATGCACACGCGTAGGGGGAGGGGCAGAAGGGAATGGGGAGAGAGAATCTTAAGCAGACTCCTTGCTGAGCACAGAGCCCAATGTGGGGCTTGATCTCACCAATCTGAAATCATGACCTGGGCCGAAATCAAGAGTCGGGCACTTAACCAACTGCCCAGGCGCCCCTTACCTTTGAAATTTTTACTTGAGAGTCTAATTTACATGACGGCCCGCAAACAGCATGGGAACAGCATCCAAAAAAAAACAGAATAGCAGATGTGTTGGCTCTTACTCAATAAATAAATATTTTTTGAGCACCTATTATTCTGTGCTGGGAACCTAGTTTTTAGTGCCATCATTCTCCAAAATAATGCACTTGAAGGGGTGGAAAGAAAATATAGAACTTCTATTAAAAGTTTATTTTTATTTTTATTTGAGAGAGGGCAAGAGCACAAGCAGGGGGAGAGGCAGAGGGAGAGAGAGAAAGCAGACTCCCGCTGAGCGGGGAGCCTGATGGGGTTCTTGATCCAAGGACCCTGAGATCATGACCCGAACTGAAATCAGGAGTCAGACACTTAACCAACTGAGCCACCCAGACACCCCTGATAGTTTTTATTAAAAAAAAAGTTTTGGCCAATAATATACCTGATGTCTGTGGGTCTTTTGATTAGGTGGTGATGTGTCATGAACTATACACAGAATGTCCTGAATCAGAGCTTCACTTGTTGAGCTCTCACCCTTGTTCATTTTGCAGTATACTGCAGTCTGTCTAGTTACATGGATTAATTACTTAGTTTGTCCAAGTCAACCCTCATCAAATGGATACACTATTTAAAAGATTTTTACCAAATGGGGGGCCTGGCTAGCTCAGTTGGTGGAGCATGCGATTCATGATCTCGGGTTGTGAGTTCGAACCCCATGTTGGGTGTGGAGCCTACTCAAAAAAATTAAAAAGCAGTGCCTGGGTGGCTCAGTCAGTTAAGCATCTGACTCTTGATCTCAGCTGAGGTCTTGATCTCAGGGTCATGAGTTCAAGCCCCGTGTTGGGCTCCACGCTAGGTGTGGACCCTACTTAAAAAAAAAATTTTTTTTTAAATACAAAAGATTTTTACCAAACAAGCCCTACAAGATAATAATAATAGGAACACAAATACTGGTGAACAAGAAAAGGGCAGGCTGACAGGCTTTCCTACTCTGAGCTCATTAAACACATGACAAGGTAAAAATACTGACTTTCTAATAAAAACACAGACTAGTCAGATTTGGTAAGTTGGAAAAAAAGCTTAAGCTACAAGAAGTATGAATTTATATCTCTTATGATTAATGTCAAAACTCACCCTATGTGTATATTATACTTTGAGATATTTGTTAAATCATAGTGTGAAAATGTCCTATTTAGGACATGAAATAGTTTATTTCACCTCTAGCTTATTCTTTTAAGATGTTTCTTTTTTTATACTATACACATTAATTTAGATGTACTTATATATGAAATTTTATATAGAAACATGTATAAATATGTTGGGGGTGGTGGATGCTCAGTTTTGTTGTTTCACTTTTTAACCTGATTAGATGCCTCATGAAACTAATTTGAAGATTTCTCCTTAATAGACTAGTGTTTTGCATTTTAGAATTAGAGGGGGCATATATAGTGCAGGGAAAAAAATAGGAAAGAAGTGTTTCTAAAGTTATAATTAAAAAAAAAATAAACCCACATTAAATTTTAGGATAAGAAAATGATTAAGTCATGCTGTAAATTTTCATTTTTGGGGAATGGGAAAGAAAGCACAGTTGGGGGGCACCTGGGTGGCTCAGTTGGTTAAGCAGCTGCCTTCAGCTCAGGTCATGATCCCAGGGTCCTGGGATCGAGCCCCGCATCGGGCTCCCTGCTCAGCGGAGAGCCTGCTTCTCCCTCTCCCTCTGCCTGCCACTCTGCCTACTTGTTCTCTCTCTCTGTCAAATAAATAAATAAATAATATCTTAAAAAAAAAAAAAAACACAGTTGGGGATGACCAAGTGAGGAATTTTTTTTAAGATTTTATTTATTTGAGGGAGAGAGAGAGTGTGCATGCACGCAGGCACACAAGCTTGAGCAGGGGGAGGAGCAGAGGGAGAGGGAGAGAATCCCAAGCCTACTCCATCCAGAGGGTGGAGCCCTATGCCAGGCTTGATCTCACCACCCTGAGATCACCACTCCAGATGAAAGCTTAAATCTATATATAAAGCAGGTAATACAGAAGTGAAAGAGAAGATTGGGAGGCAAAGGTGAGAGAGAAGAAAATATAAGTAAGGCTAACATTGTGGGACCATCAAATACTATACCTTAATTTGGCTATACATATCTGTGGATTTGAAAATCACTGTATAAGGGGGTAGAGTGAGGGAGATCACACCAAAGGAAATAACCGAAGTATGGAATAGAATGCTAGTTGAAATGGAGGAGAAAAAAGATGCATTTGGGGGAAATTATAGACAGAAAAGTAGAAAGGATTAGACATGATTAGATGTGAGAAATTAGAAATAAATTAAAACCTGAAAGTATACACATAAAGAATCAATGTAATCAAGAAATTGGACAATTTTATTTTGTTCTTTTTTAGAGTAAGCAGAATGTGAAATAAAGCTGTGATTTTATCCATTTTTTACCTCCCTAATTATATAGTAATGTAAATAACTTGTTTCTTACAAAAATTTACCTGCTACTTGAGGTATGTTCTTTTAGTGCAAGGTAGTAAAATTAATTTTTTTTCTTAACATCAGTGTACATGTAAATTCCATACTGTATGCTTAATTTCTTTCTTTCTTTTTTTAAACATTTTATTTATTTATTTGAGAGAGAGAGAATGAGAGAGAGCACATGAGAGGGGGAAGGGTCAGAGGGAGAAGCAGACCCCCTGCTGAGCAGGGAGCCTGATGCGGGACTCATCCAGGGACTCCAGGATCATGACCTGAGCCGAAGGCAGTCGCTCAACCAACTGAGCCACCCAGGCTCCCTGTATGCTTAATTTCTTTATTAACTATTGGCTTAAAGTAATTTAAAACTAAGATCATTTTTGGCTCAAGGAATTTGGATTTAAGACTAATCTTCACATAGCCAAGATGATAGTGTGGTTTGTTTCAAGGTTTTAAAAGTAAAGAAAGATACCAGTTCCCTTCCTACCTTGCTTTTTATATCCTATTTCTTTGTCTGACATCACTAATATGATTTCAAGTGTTATTTTTTGTCTTTAATGTTCAAATTACTTAGATTTTCTTAAACAATTCTTTGTTTTTTCTAAATACAAAAGTGAACCTTTTCCTTTTCTGACAAGTAGCCTTTTAGAAGTAGAGGTTATCTTTACTTGAAGAATCATCTAAAATCACTAAACAAAAACTTTCTTTTTTTTTTTTTTTTTTAAAGATTTTGTTTGTTTATTTGACAGAGAGAGAGAACACAAGCAGGGGGAGGGGCAGAGGGAGAAGCAGACACCCCGCCGAACAGGGAGCCCAATGCGGGCTTGATCCCAGGACCCTGGGATCATGACCCGAGCGGAAGGCAGACGCTTAACCGACTGAGCCACCCAGGCACCCCTAAACAAAAACTTTCTTTTTTTAAAGATTTTTTTTTTATTTATTCATTTGAGACACAGAGATACAAAGAGAGAGAGAGAGAGAGAGCATGAGCAGTGGGAGAGGCAGAGGGAGAGGGAGAAGCAGACTCCCGGCCAAGCCAGGAGCCCGATGTGGGGCTCGATCCCAGGACCCCGGGATCACGACCTGAGCCGAAGGCAGGCGCTTAACGACTGAGCCACCCAGGCGCCCCCTAAACAAAAACTTTCTTAAGTGTAAATTTAATAGCCTAAAAATTTGTTGTATAATATACGTAATTCTTGACTTTTGTTTGTTCGACACATGAAGTCCTATGTGAATGAGATGCTAAACCCTGGACCGCCTCTCCTAGTGAAGTACTAATCAGGTTATCTGAACTCTGACCAGCTTCCTCCTATCACAATTTCTCAGTGACAGCAGTATAGAAAGAAGTCAAAGAGGAATACAACTCTTTATAATATTACTTCAACTACATTTTGGGAACCAGGTGTATTTTCACCTTACAACATTTAACCATATTTTATAACATTTATTTCAAAATGGGAAATGCATTCCAAGTTTCAGAGGACTAATCTACAAGCTTTGGAAATCTTCTTGAAGGGAAAGAGTGACTGTATTTTTTTTTTTTTTCAGGTATTAGAGGTGAGTATAATTCTGACTGATTGGCTTCAACACAGTTGTAAACCAGGGAGAGATTTTTAGAACTTGTTTACTTTAAATCCTTCTGTTTACCTTGGGAGTTTTTAATACCAGTATTAGTGGGATAGTTTCCAATTTGAAAGCAGTGTCTCAGCTAAAACTAAGGCAGCTAGACAACATTTAAATTCTCATTTATATTCGACTTTTCTTACTGATTTTCTTTTGACCTCTTGGCCTGGGAGGAAGAAGAAATCAAAAGGTGTTGTGGGCAGCTAGAGAAGCCCATGCTGTGAGGCAGCTCTTCGTTACACAAAGGAAGGAAACTAACATTTATTGATCTCTACCACATGCTAGGCACTCTTAGAAGTTTTGGCCCATAGAAGTAGGTGCTTTCCTTTAACGTCATCATCATCAAATAATACTTGCATAGTGTGGTAAATTCAGAGTATAGAAGTTATAATCTTAGAAATAAGTGTCCTTCTTAGTGACTGTAAGAGAACCTAAAATTGGCTCTTGAGAAATAAGGACAGTTGTGAAAATATTAACAAATTTTTTTAAATCGGTGAAAACTAACCCAGACAAAACAAAATTGATTTCTTATAGCTCAGTAAAGTTAAATTTGTTACCCCTTTATGATATTGGGTTATTGTAGAATATTAGAGCAGGTAATGTCCTAGATACCCTTTAGATTGCCAGTGCTATCCAACAGAAATAATATGTCATATATGTAATTTTAAATTTTCTAATAGTCACATTAAAAAGGCAAAAAGAAACAGGTGAATTAATTTTAATTGTATATTTTGTTTAACCCATCTATTCAAATACTATCATGTCAACATGTAATCAACGTAAAATTATTAGAGATAGTTTGTGTTCTTTTTTTTTTTACATAAAACTTTCCAAATCCAGTGTATATTTTACACTTACAGCACATCTCCATTCAGATACTAAACTTTCATTAGAAATGCTTGACTTGCTCTTCTGAGGACGGCGTCCATAGGCATTCAGAATGGTCCAGCGTTTGACCTACCGTCGTAGGCTGTCCTACAATACAGCCTCTAACAAAACTAGGCTGTCCCGAACCCCTGGTAATAGAATCGTTTACCTTTATACCAAGAAGGTTGGGAAAGCACCAAAATCTGCATGTGGCGTGTGCCTAGGCCGACTTCGAGGAGTTCATGCTGTGAGACCTAAAGTCCTTATGAGGTTGTCCAAAATGAAAAAACACATTAGCAGGGCCTATGGTGTTCCATGTGTGCTAAGTGTGTTCATGACAGGATCAAGCATGCTTTCCTTATTGAAGAGCAGAAAATCGTTGTGAAAGTGTTGAAGGCCCAAGCACAGAGTCAGAAAGCTAAATAAAAAAAATGAAGCTTTTTTGAGTAATAAAAAAAAATCAGAAAGCTTGGGGGGAAAAAAAGGAAATGCTTGACTTCTATTTAGATTCATAAAAATTGCAGTTAAAAAAGTAGATTCTATGGGGCGCCTGGGTGGCTCAGTCGTTAAGCGCCTGCCTTCGGCTCAGGTCATGATCCCAGTGTCCTGGGATCGGGCCCCGCATCAGGTTCCCTGCTCCTCGGGAAGCCTGCTTCTCCCTCTCCCACTCCTCCTGCTTGTGTGCCTGCTCTCTCTCTCTCTCTCTGTCAAATAAATAAATAAAATCTTTAAAAAAAAAAAAGTAGATTCTAAGAACTATTAGAAGTTTTCCAATGAGGGCGCCTGGGTGGCTCAGTTGGTTAAGTGACTGCCTTCGGCTCAGGTCATGATCCTGGAGTCCCAGGATCGAGTCCCGCATCGGGCTCCCTGCTCGGCAGGGAGCCTGCTTCTCCCTCTGACCCTCCCCCCTCTCATGTGCTCTCTGTCTCTCTCATTCTCTCTGTCTCAAATAAATAAATAAAATCTTTAAAAAAAAAAAAAAGTTTTCCAATGAATGAAGTACAGAAAAACCATTTTGCTTTAATATTTGCATCTGTATTGATAAAACTGACTCTTTTTTTTTTTTTTAAGATTCCATTTATTTATTTGAAAGAAAGAATGAGACAGAGAGAGAGAGCACGAGATGGGGGAGGATCAGAGGGAGAAGCAGACTCCCTGCTGAGCAGGGAGCTCGATCTGGGACTCAATCCCGGGACTCCAGGATCATGACCCGAGCCAAAGGCAGTCGCTTAACCAACTGAGCCACCCAGGCGCCCTGACTCATCTTTTTAGAACAACTGATTTGACTCTGAAACAAAAGCATATCAGTTTCAAAACTACATCTAAGTAAATCTACTAACTCTTGTAACAATTCAGTATTACCAACATTGAAATCAAAGGGGCACTATGTAAACTGAAAATCGACTCTTAAATGTATCCATATCAACAACATGCCCTTCAATTTTCTCACAGATTTTATTATTTTATTTTATTTTTAAAGATTTTATTTATTTATTTGACAGAGAGAGACACAGCGAGAGAGGGAACACAAGCAGGGGGAGTGGGAGAGGGAGAAGCAGGCTTCCCGCCGAGCAGGGAGCCCGATGCGGGGCTCGATCCCAGGACCCCGGGATCATGACCTGAGCCAAAGGCAGACGCTTAACGACTGAGCCACCCAGGCGCCCCTTCATTTCAAGAAAATCTTGAATTAGAGGGGTACCTGGCTGGTGCATTCAGTAGAGTGTGCAACTCTTGATCTTGGGGTCGTGAGTTTTGAGCCCCACGTTGGATGTAGAGATTACTTAAAAATGAAATCTTTAAAAAAAAGAAAAAAAAAGAGGGGTGCCTGGGTGGCTCAGTTGGTTGAGCAGCCGACTCTTGATTTTGGCTCATGATTTTGGCTCAGGTCATGATCTCAGGGTCCTGGGATCCAGCCCCATGTCAGGCTCCACGCTCAGTGGGGAGTCTGCTCAAGGATTTTCTTTCTTCCTCTCCCCCTACCCCCATGCACACGTGTGTTGTCTCTCTCTCTAAAATAAGTCTTTAAAAAAAATTTTTTTTTTGAATTAGAAGAAATAGTAGAGTAAATCTTTGTAAACTCTTTCATGACTCAAACTGAAGCAGTGAACATTGGCAAAGAACTTTTCTAACAATATGAAAGATTATTTAATTCATTATCATGAATTATTATGGTCATTAAATTCATTATCTTCTATTTTTTTTATAACAGTTTCATAAACTGGTGATGATTCATAGCATTTGTACATATATACTGAACAATTTTAATAACTGCATCCATGATACAGTCCATTTCAGAACACAGATATTTTCGATATGTATCACACAGTGAAATAAATATAATAATAAGGGAAATATAGTAAATCCAGATTTTGGATCTCACATAGCTGGCCCATTGTCTTTTTTTTTTTTTTTAGGATTTTATTTATTTGAGAGAGAGAGCACGCACAAGTAGGGGAGAGGAAGAAGCAGGCTTTCCGCTGAGCAGGGAGCCTGATGCAAGGCGCAGTCCCAGGACCCTGGGACCATGACCTGAGCCATAGGCAGATGCTTAACTGAAGGCAGACACTTAACTGACTGATCCACCCAGGCTCCCCCATTGTCTGTCTTGACAGAAACTTTTTCCTATCTAGCTGAAAGTGACAGATGTAAAAGATTAAAAAATATAGTATCTACAACTTGAGATTGATTAGATGAAGACATTTCTTTGTAAATTTATAAGTTGTTTGAGACAAAACATACCCAGAATGTTAGTCAGTATCTCTTGTGAAGCTCATTTAAAGCTAAAAATAAAAGTACTTGCAATTTTTCAAATGTTGAATAGATTGATCTTTAATATTGTTAGAAAAGTCTTTTATTTACTGGCACTCACTTGGTGGGTCAATTTAAGATATTTCACGTTTTGTTTTAATTGTTTCCTCAAATTTTAAAACCTAATTCCCTTAACTGAAATGATAATTAAATTTTTTATCTTTCCATCTAAAAATGGTTCTCTTTGTTGAGCAAGAATCCCAGCCATTTTATGGCTGGCCAAAATTATAAGCTCAGATCCTATTTAATAATCACAGACATTTTTTTTTGTTATATGTTTAATTTCATTAGCTGCTTTATTTTTTGACTGTTGAGAGGCAACTTCTTATTAAATGAATATGCATTTGCTGAAGATGACTCTTGGTATTATCTTAAAACTTCTTTTATTTATTTATTTTTTAATTTATTCATTTATTTGACACACAGAGAGAGAGCGCGTGCACAAGCCCGGGGGAGGGGAAGAGGGAGAAGCAGACTCCCCGCTGAGCAGGGAGCCTGATGTGGGGCTAGATCCCAGGACCTTGAGATCATGACTGGAGCTGAAGGCAGACACTTAACCAACTGAGCCACCCAGGCACGCCTTAAAACTTCTTTTATACAACTTACTCATTTTTCTCTGCTATAGCAAATTGTATTGCCATCCTTTGTAAAATTTGTGACATACCTTCTCCACTTGATACTGCCCCATTAGTGTGCCTTCATTTGAAAGTTAAAAGTTTTTTCATTCTTAATTTTTTTTTAAAGGTTTTATTTATTTATTTGACAGAGAGACACAGCGAGAGAGGGAACACAAAAAGGGGGAGTGGGAGAGGGAGAAGCAGGCTTCCTGCAGAGCAGGGAGCCCGATGCAGGGCTCGATCCCAGGACCCTGGGATCATGACCTGAGCCGAAGGCAGACGCTTAACGAATGAGCCACCCAGGTGCCCCTCATTCTTAATTTTTAAGCCAGAAAAATAATTTGCATTATAATTAAAATAAGCGTTGCAGCTTAACTACCGATTACTATTTACATAGTTATCACTGTAACTCTGCTGTCTGCATAAAATATTCAGATAAACACATGGTAGTGCTACATTGTTGCATAGAAAAATAACCATCTGTTGACATAAACTAGATTGGTGATATGCTTATGTAATACTAGAAATGACACATGCACCCATCATGTGCACTGCAATACATCTTAGGTGATGTAATAATAAAAGTGAAGTATAGTTTTGCCAAAACCATAAAACTGTGTTTAGTGGAAAATTATTTTTTACTGCTTTAGTTGTTAAGTGAAATTTTGTATCAATTAGAATTTTTTAAAAATTAAAATTCAATTCTTAAGTGGCATCAGCCACATTAGCACAGCTCTAGAATCTAGAGCAACTTATTTAATGATGTAAGTTCAGAGAGATGAAGCAACTAGATCCAGTCAAGCCAGATTAGTTTAGAATGGAGCAAAACCATAAATAAATCTATATTCAATATTATGAAAAATGTTACTTTAACAAATGTTTTATATCCTAGGCTCAATCCATATCACACCAAAAAGAATTACTTTATTTATTTATTTAAAAAAAATTTTTTTTAGAGCAGCGGGGCGGGGCAGAGGGAGAGGGAGAGAATCTCAAGCAGGCTTCACGCCCAGCTCAGAGCCCGAGGAGGGGCTCGATCTCACAACCCTCAGATCGTGACCTAAACTGAAATCAGGAGTCAGACGCTTAACCAACTGAGCCACCCAGGTGCTCCAAAAAGAATTACTTTAATAAGAAAAAAACCAGTTATTTAATTTAACTGGAAACAATTTGTTTAAACAAAGCAACAACTTTTTTATGGAGGTTCAGGGATTCACTTTTCAATTAGAGATTATGGCATACTGTAAATAGATGAAAGGTGAGATAAATTTGCTCTTAGACTTCATTCCCCAGATGAACACTAGCATTTAGCCTTGTTTTTGTTTTGAATACTGAGTCTTGTTTTATCTGTAATACATGCATAAATATATGCAAACATAAAATGAAAATGTTAGGAGGAATTAGAGTAGCAGCATAATCAGTGAATGCTTAAGCTTCTTAGAGGAACCAGGTGCCTTAAGTCTAAATTTACAGAGTAGACCTTACTCTCTTAGCATTATGCTGAGAAGAAGCAAGGAATTAAACCTTTTCACTAATTTAATATTTTACATATTTATCATAAAACTGATAAAGAATTTTCTCCTGCCATTGCTGGTACTTTGATGATAGAGAAACAGTCCAGGACGTAAAAGGTAGCTTTTGCTATTTGTGAAAATGTCAGGAAACTTGGAGAATACTTTAGAGACTCTTGATTGATAGCATAGGTACTCAGCTAATGGGGGAGGGGCATTAACTGATTACATAAATATTACTGTTTTAGTTAAAGTTTTCAAAAGCATTCACTTGAAATTTTAACTTCTGTAAATAAAAGACCTTAGGATACATGCTTCTCTGTGTAATCTTTTTTTTCCCCCCATTACTTTCCCCCATTTTCTTCTAATGTTTTTTGGATTCTGCTAGAGATGACCTAATTTTTACTAATTGCTCTGCATTCAAAGTTTTATTTGCTGAGTGGCAGCATTACTGTCATTATTCTTTGGTAGTTATAATAAGTGGTTTTATACAAAGCCGCTATTCAAAAGAATATATTGGTACTAGCTTGTAAGTTGTTTTTGTTAAAATTGGCCTTATTCCAGGAAAAAATTGAATGCTAATGTAGAAGGTGAAGTTTATTACGTGAGTTCCTTTATTTGCTTATTGACTTGCTAAAATACACACACACACACACACACAATATCAGTTTTAAAGAACACCTTAAAATATCTTTCTTCAAAGCAATTATCAGTTTCCTAAAAGATGTAGCCACTGTTTTATACTTTAGTTTTCTAGCACCTCTGAATGATTGTTCTTCTCAACCATCTGAATTCAATTTATTTTAATTAAATTGTTTTAAATGTATAGCTTTATTTTTAGTTTTTTTTTTCTTTAAATTTAACTGTCCCTGTAGGTTAATTACCTTTTCCCTGCTCTTCATTTAAATTTCTTCTCCCAGAAAGACAATTATATGATCTCACTGATACGAGGAATTTGAGAAACAAGACAGAGGATCATAGGGGAAGGGAGGGAAAAATGAAACAAGATGAAACCAGAGAGGGAGACAAACCATAAGAGACTCTTAATCTCAGGAAACAAACTGAGGGTTGCTTGAGTGGTAGGGGGTGGGAGGGATGGGGTGGTTGGGTGATGGACATTGGGGAGGGTATGTGCTATGGTGAGCGCTGTGAATTGTGTAAGACTGAGGAATCACAGACCTATACCCCTGAAACAAATAATACATTATATGTTAATAAAAAAAAAAATAAATCTCTTCTCCCCCCAAATTCCTTATTATTTTGAGTTGGGACGCATTACCTGACAGCTTTGGGCTTAATGCTTGGTGAATTGACTTGGTGCTTTTTATTTTCCATGTATTATGCACCACTAAAAAGAATGTAACACATGTAGCAGCTTATTTTGTTTTTGAAGGAGGAATTGAAGAGCTTTTGAGTAAAAATGTGAAAAGAAGCTAGTGTTCATTGCCTACGTGGCTTTTTAAAAAGGCTCTTAAAAGACATTCCATTGTGGATTCCAAGTCCTCTTTAAACTTACCACCGACAGTAACTGCCTGCAGAGCCAAGTGATCATCTTGGCAGCAGCCAGGCCTTTTAGTGATTTCATTATGTGGTTTCCTCAAGCTCTTTGCACACATTGATTAATATTTTTCTTGCAGTTATCGCTGTGATGATTTTGTGGTTAATGACACCAAGCTGGGACTGGTACAGAAAGTCAGAGAACACTTACAGAACTTGGAAAAGTAAGTAATAGGCCTTGGGAAAGGAAGGGTATAGAATAGGGTTGAGGGGTCTTTGCAAATTTTTGAGTGGGAGTTTTGTTATTGAGTTCCATAACTTCGTCATGATTTTAGTGTGATTGATGTGTTAATAAAGTAAACTTTGGATATCTGAAACTGTGCCCATAGTTAATGGTCATAGCTTAGCATTTATTTCATTTAATATTTATCATAAATCATAGCCAAGAGTCCAAGAGCCTTTTTTTTTTTTTTAAGTTATTACCCACCAATTTATAAGCTCTAGTCAGTTGATTTGCAAGGGAAATTTTGGAGGTGTAAGGAAAGGGCATAAAACGATAGAAAATCATTATAGAGTTACTTATGATTTTAGAAAATCCTTGTCAGGCATGTTTTATGAGGTCTCAGAAGCACTAAAATTTATGCATTATTTTTAAGGGAAATTAGGTTTTATTATATTACTGTCCACTGCTTCTGTAGGATAGCACAAGATCCTAGTTTCGTCTTTTCCTCTTTTGTTAGGGGCTGTATGTGTCACTTGAAATTACAATAGATTGTGAAATGCTTTGTCATCAGAAAGTAATTATGTCATCAGAAAGAAATTATGTCATCATAAAGAAATTTGTCATCATAAAGAAATTCTATTCACAACTGATGTGAATAGAATTTTTTTGCTATAGCCAGATAGGTTATTCAGATAAAATTCACTGAACCCAAAGTTGAAGCAATAAACAGAAATCCAAATAGTGATGCAGTGGATAGAAGCATGGCCCTGGAATGACTGCTGACTCTAGTGAAATTTGTATAAATCACCCCTGATCGTCAGGTGCCATCTAATTTATTTTGACAGTTGACCTTAAAAACTATTGTGAGAACATACCAAAAGGAGGAGTCCCTTAGCAAACTTAAAGGCAATAGAATATTTTTAAATCATATATTGAGAGGAAATAGCCTAAGTGCTTTGAATAAAACACTTGTATAGTTTTCGTTAACCAAAGTCTTATGCATGTCTTGGTGACAATAGATTACAAAGCTGATAAGGGAAGAGGATGGATTTCTTGAAAATCTACACTCGTTGAAACACTTTGAATTAAAGTACTTTTTTGGCTTGTTATCTTTTGGCTCCTCTCTTTTTCAAAGTGCTTCTTCCCTTCTTGTAATCTGAAATAGAGCAGCAGGAGCCCTATCTAGGATTAGAGACAGAGGTACAGATACACAGACCCAAAATATTTTTGTCTGAAATTGTCATAATTAACAAGTAGGAGATTCCCACAATAATTATGTAATGTCACTCTTTAGTGTGGTGATGTCATAGTGAAGATCTTAATTGACTTGATTTTTTTGTCAGAGAAGTGGGTAGCTACCAGAATATTTTTTCTGCCACTTACAGTTTTCTCTAAGAAAAGACTACATCTCAATCCCAAATAAATGTATCAGAACTAAGTCAAAGGGAAAAGAGGGTATTCAAGAATGTACATGCATTTATGCAGTTATCAGATCTTTTATTTCCATTGACCACTTCATCAGGTAAAAGATGTCAGAGTTCCTTGTCTATACTTCCGCTTGGTCCCACTGAAAAGTCTGCTTTGCAGTCCTGCTCCTGTGTTGAAAAACATTACTTGGGTTCATTTTTCTGTTCTTCAAATTTGGGCTTTAGTCTGTAGTGGAAACCACAGTTTCAAAGCTGTGATTATATTTGTGTTTTACTTAACTTTAGACTCTTCTGCATATCCTCTAGAAGTGCACTGTGTAAAAGAACTTCCTGAAGTGAAGAAAGTGTTGTATAATCTGCACTGTCCTATATGGTAGCCCCTAGTCTTATGCAGAGCAGTTGAAAAGTGGCTAGCAATGGCTGAGGAACTGAGTTTTTAATTTTATGTAAGTTTAGTTAATTTAACTTTTATATCCACATGTAGTAAGTGGCTACCGTATTAGTGTGGATCTAGTGAATTCTGCCATTTTGAGAATTGCTGAGGATAATATTTAATGACTTATATTTTAAAAAGCTGAATGCTTTCTTTATATAGGTTAAAACTGAAAGCTAACTGTTAGGCTTGTTGCTAAGTTGTGTGTGTGTGTATGTGTATAGTGCTTGTGATTCAACCTCTTTACTTAACAGAATTATGAAGGAATAACTTGACACTGTAATATGGAATTGGTCTTTTCTTACCTTATTTTCACTGATACTCTGAGAGGGATATGCATAGAGTTCTGAGGACATGTTGCCTAAGAATATTTTTAGTTTTGAGGTAACTAAGTGTCACTAGATCTGATGCTCCAAAGATACTGTAGTTCATGTGGAAATTAAATAATCATGCATTTACTTTGGACTACCCTCATACTTTTTAGAAGATGGAAAAGAATTGGCAGACTTTAAAAAGTCTGTGTTGTTCAAATGTGGGCTTTAGTCTGCGGTGGAAACTACAGTTTTTGGTAGTTTTTTATGTCTTAATAGTAAAAAATGATAATTTTTGCTTCTTTTAGATTAGGTCTCCTGATATATAATTTTAAAGTAACCCTTTGAAAGAATTATTTTCTGATAAAATTTAAGCAAAATATCTCTCATCAAGAAAAATTTTGAAAAATTTTAATTCAGAATATCCATGCTAATTAGAATTTGTTTCAGAATATCCTTTGTAGCATAGCTGAATCGAATTAATTTGTATATATCTATGTGCCTATAATTTATTTTGCAGAAATTCAGGTTATATCATAATCTGTTATGAAAATGAGCAAAATAGGAAATCTTTGTCAAAATTAAGAAAGAAGTAGCATAGTATTTGAGAATTAATGTTAAATCTCAGTATAATCATATCAGACAAGGGTTTTCCTTTTGTTGTGAGGAATGGGTCTTCTCGTTTTTGAAGCTTCACAATTGATTAGGCAGATAGTGGTAGTGAAGAGGGATTGTCTCACAGACTACATCTACCTGGCCAGCTTTTCTGGGAGGTGCCTGGTGGTAGATGCTTGCAGCCCACCTTGCTAGAGGAGTAGTGGGGATTGCCAAGAAAGTGGAACTCGTCACTTACTTCAAATACTTGTGGGCCACAGTGGGCCTAACAGGTCACTTCCTGGCCTTGCTAAGCAGCCAGGCAGGGCTCTATACCCCAGACCCTTAGAACAGCAACGTTTATTTTTTAACCTGCTGTCTAGTATGTTTGTGTTAATGTCTTTTTGACTATCTATTTGTGTTTTAATAGCTCGGCTTTCACAGCTGACAGGCATAGGAAAAGAAAACTTTTGGAAAACTCATCACTAAACAGCAAGTTATTAAAAGTAAATGTAAGTAATTAAAATATATACAAATGTAAGAATTGGTTGAGATCTCGTCACTGTTTTATTACAACTCTAACATTAATGTTGCTCCTTATAAACTTTCATAAATTTTTCATTAATGTTGCTCCTTACCAAACTTGGATTTGGTATATTTTACAAAATGTTTGCCACTTGTACTAATGATTCTTGATGTGACTTAAATACCCACTTTTGTCCATCTGTCAGTGCCTTCCTGCCATCAGGATTACTACTGTGCTCCTCTACCTTAGCAAGTGTTCACTCTTAAAGCCTATTCATGTGTCTTGCTACTCTCTTTCTAAGGATCCCAAAGATCTTTGCTATTTTCTGTTAAAGGTTCTAAGTGCAAATTGTATGGGTCTGAAGTTTTGGTAAGTTTTATTTCTTAGGACTTCATTAATACAATTTCACCACGAAAGAATGTGTTTCCTCATTCTGGTAACCATCTGTTACCAGATGTATGATCCATTAATAAATTAATAAAATTTAAAGATCACTAAATACTTTTAAATACATTAGTAATTTTGCCCTGCATCTGCCTTTCTGCTGTCATGCTAGTTATGTTTAGACATGCACTTACTTAGTTAAAGTGTTAGGATTTTGTTAAAGAGCTGAAGTACTCTCTGGCCATCTGAGTTATGGGCAGAGATGCTCTGAGTTGGATTGGTAGATTCTCTTCTCAGGTGTAGTATTCAGATGTTACGGTGCATTTGTAGAGCTAATCAGAAAATCAAGCCTTGGGCTTTAAGGGAAATTCAGGTAGTTTTTAAAGATTGATATCCCATTGCTAGGAATACATGTATTGGTCATTTATGCATGGCATAGTTAAAGGTTTGGGGGTGAATATTTCAGGTAAATATTTATATCTTTTCAATTTGTAGTAGTTTTAATAAAATCTTATGAAAGCATTGTCTTAAACTTCATTTCTTTTAAGGATCTTCCTGGTTTTCAAATTTGTACTCCATGGTTTTCATTAATGCTGGTTTCCTCATAAGCTTCCATGAGGTACTCCCATGTCGGACAATCCCAGGATCAGAAACAGGCTTCTAAAAATATCTGGACACTTATACAGAAAGTAGAATGAGAGTTTGAAATATTCATTGGACAAAAAAGGACCAATTCCAAATTGGCTTGATGCTAGAGTTTCAAATATAGGTCTTTGCTTTGATGTCTGACATGTCCTTCTCTTGGTATTACTGATGGCCGCCCATCCCATTTTGCAGGGAAGCACCACTGCCATCTGTGCCACAGGCCTCCGGAATCTGGGGAACACATGTTTCATGAATGCCATCCTTCAGTCGCTCAGGTACTGTCAACGTCAGAGCTTAGGATGCTGCTGTTAGTTTCTAGTGAAATGGTTAGGAGGAAAGGCTCTGGGTTCACATTCTGTCTCTGCCACTAACTCTGGTCAGTTCCCTGTGCCTCAGTTTCCTCATCAGTAAAATCAGGGATAATAGTTGTGCCTCATAGGATGGTTGGGAAGATTAAATAATTTATATAAAGGGTTTAGAACAGTGCCCAGCAGTAAGTAATTGTTAGTTATTATTTATCTCCTATTGCTTCTTGAATAAACTAGAGCAGAGGTCCGCAAACTTTTTCATTTAAAGGCCAGACAGTAAGTATTTTAGTCTCTGCATGCCACACACAGTCTGTCTCCTATCTTCCCCCCGGCCCCCAATCCCTCCACCTCCACCCTTTTTAAACAACTCTAAAAATGTAAGAGCTCAGTGTCTGGGACCTGGGACCAGATTTGGCCAACAGGCCCCTGGACTACAGAGAACCTTGTTCAGAGAATTTAATCCGATCATTAGTTAAGTCTTAAATATGGTCATAAGATTGGATGTTTAGAAGATCTTTAAAATGTAAGATAAGTAGTAAAAATAAAATACCCAACAAGGCTGACCTCAGTTATGTAGAAGAAATTATTTTGAAGGTCATGTACTTGTAGATTTTAATGTGGCATCAAAGGCCAGAATTAATTCTCTTCCCAAGGCCACCTTGCAAATAAGGAGCAGAAGTCATACTTGATCCCTCCTTGAAGGTACTATCTCTTGGTTTATCTAGTCTTGTTCAAATAAGAAATTCAAGTCACTACTGAATTCTCCTTATTACTCTTGACTGTATATCTAAACAATAAGGTTGGTTTCATGGTTTGTTTTTATTTGAGGAAATTATTGAATACCTGGAAACAGGTACCATAAAAAGAAAAAAATGGTGACAACCTTTGGGGAGGGGAATTGAGGATTTAAAAAAAATTTTTTTTAAGTTTTATTTGTCTTTACAACCAATGTGGGGCTTGAACTCACAACCTCAATATTAAGTTGTATGCTCTTCCAACTGAGTCAGTTGGGTGCCCCAGAATTCAGAATTTTTTGGAACAGACTCTGCTTTAAGCTCTTTGTTCATTTCTACAAAGTCATCTGTTAATACTGTTTTCTTAGAGTAAATGAGGAAACTTAATGGGGAAACTCAAAGCAATTTCTTGAGAAATTGAAAGATCACATTTTAAAAATTCACATGTAGGTTTTATAGAACTTTCTTTACAGTCCTAGTAAATTCTTTTTTCTTTCTTTCTTTCTCTCTCTTCCTTCCTTTCTTTCTCTCTTTCTCTTTCTTTCTTTCTTTTTCTTTCTTTCTTTCTCTTTCTTTCTTTCCTTTCTTTCTTTCTTCTTTTTAAAATAATTTTCTTCCCTTCCTTTTAAAATAGTAACATTGAGCAGTTTTGCTGTTATTTCAAAGAACTGCCCGCTGTGGAGTTAAGGAATGGGAAAACAGCAGGAAGGCGAACATACCACACCAGGAGCCAAGGGGATAACAATGTGTGAGTTCTAAGAATATATCCTTTCTGGCTTTGAGCTACAAAACAAGGGACTCTTACTGGTGATTTCCATTGCATTATGTGAGTTCATAGGCACATGCATTTTAAAACACTCTTCTTCTAAAACCTGGGTTTAACTGTCTAGCTAATGATCTTAATAATTGTTTATTTCTATTTTTTTATTTCTATTTCTGTTTACCTAATAGGAGAATAAGTTTAGCTGTCTACATATTAAGTTTTTGTGGATTTGAGCTCTAAAATTGACATCTGTATATGAAACACAGTTCTAGGTGTAGACCAGCATGAATATCATTAGTTTTTGTGAATTGATTTGTGTTATATTGTTAGATAAATCTGTTTTGGATAATAAAATTAATTTGTAGTCATCAAATTAATTATGGGGCAATACAGCCAATTTTTAGTTGATACGGAGAGGGAAAAATTGACAAATGATTATTGAGAACCAATATGTATGCAAATTCAGTGCAGCTGTGCTCCATTTGATGTTCAGAAGATCTGTATTATGATTGTAATGGGCAGTTTTTTTCATATCTTAACATTACTGAAATAAGGCTCTGATTTATAATTTGTGTGTGTATGTATTTATATTTATATATGTGTGTGTATATGTGTGTATATACACACACACACACATATATATATATATATATATATATTTTTTTTTTTTTTTAAAGAGCGAGAGCACACATATGCATAAGCTGGGGCAGGGAGGGCAGAGGGAAGGAGAGAATCCCAAGTAGCTCCAGGCTCAGCACAGAGCCCAACACGGGGCTCAGTCTCATGACCCTGAGATCATGACCTGAGCTGAAACCAAGTCGGATGCTTAACCAGCTGAGCCACCCAGGTGCCCCTAATTTGTATATATTTTAATGTAATGTTCTTTCTGCCAGCCCATCCCTGCTCCCATACACCCCATCCCCACACATTCTGAAGAGCCATTTTACAATCTGACATTGTTCTGCCTAAGTGACTGAGGGAGATTAGGATAGAACATACTAGAATAGTGTGCAGTATGGTTAGAGCCAAAATACCAGGGAACTTTAAAGCCAGGCATTGGAGTAGGGGTGGAATCATACCACGACAATTGATATCTTAAGAGTTTGCTTTAGTAGCAGCATATAGGATGAACTGGAAAATGCCTGCATTCAAGGAGACTTCACACTTTATAGTAGTTGGGTTGGACGAGATAGCAGTGAAATAAGGAAGAAAAAAATACATTTTCACAAAAGTTAAGAGGAGAATTAGTAGTACTTGATGCATTAGTGTCATTTAAGGTTTAGTTACAAACTGCAGAAATTGCCTCTGGCCATTTTAGGCAGAAAAAGAACTTAATGCAGGTCTGTTGGTAAGCTATTACTGGATGGGTGGAAAATCAGGTCTGGAATCTAGACATCCAGGACCATTGCTGCAATTACCCCATGGAAGTCTGTCCCATAAGGATATCACTGCTTCCATAACATCACTGACCCATGACAACACACTGCTCAGTGTGTGACACCAAAGTTCCATTAACAGCACTGTTAGAGGTGGGTGCTGGGTGAATGCTGCTGTTATTGCTGCCCCTGTACTCCAGATGATGCTCTTCATCACCAAAAAGGATTTGGCACTGCCCAGCTTTGCATCACTAACTTCTGCTTCAAGTAGGCAGAACCCAGGCCATGTACCTGAGCCCTGGCTGCAAGGGGGTTTTGAGGAAGCAAGTATCTGGCCTTTCCAACTTCCATAGTGGGAGGCAGTCTCTTACCAAGACTCTTAAGGTGGGGAATTCCTCAAATACAGGGAGAGGGTTCAGGTACTAGGAAGTAAAAAATATGGTTTGTATCTTAGGGACCTACTGGATGACAGGGGTTGAGCAAGAAGTTATTGAGATTCGCTGAGATATCAATCAGGTATTTGTGAGTATGGTATTGTATTGACAGATACAGATATTAAATTGTTTGGAGATGTTTCAGTTTAGTTAGTTATTGGAGGTATTTCATTCTAGCTACATACATAGAAAAACAAAATTAATAGTGACTTAAACATCCATTTTTTATTTTCTCATGTAAAAGCTGGAGATTATCCATCTAGGGCTGTTTGCCACAATCATCAGGCTCCTTCTAGCTTTCTGTTCCACCAACACTAGTGTAGGGCTGTCGTCCACATAGCTCAGACTGATGCTGGAGTGCCACCATTTCATCCTTCCAGCTAGAAGGAAGAAGGAAGGGGTTAATGAGAAGGACTGCTCTTTCTCTTCAAGGGAGTTTCTCAGAAGTTGAACACGCTCAAAGTTTTTTAGTCCAGGAGTTCTTTTGCCAAGCAAAAATTGAAAGTTCTATTCCTCTGAGAGAAGAGAAGAATGGGTATTGGAGGATCGTAGAGAGAGTATAGAGAGCAGCTTTAGTGCACATTGAGTTTGAAGTGACAAGAGGACATCCAGGAGAAAATTCATCTTGGAAACTGGAGAAACCTGACTAAAAGTGGTCGTGAGAAAATCTGGCTTTCAGATTTGGATTTGGAAGTCCTGGTGTAGAGTTGAGTATTGAAGCTTTGTGGCCAGATGAACTGTCTGAGGCAGAGATGAGCAGATGGTCACACACTGAGGTCTGGGAAGTGTTCCTTGTGAGGGCAAGAAGGAAAACTGCAGGAAATGGAGAAAGAGAATCTGTTACTTGTTTTAAGTTTTTAAAAAATGTACATTTTAAAATAATTTGGTTTGTAACTTACCTATTGCTTTATTCTACAAGTATGACATTACTTTGGCACAAAGTTCACCATATAGTTAAAAACTAGTTTTGTCTGTAATTACTGCAATTTATGTGGGTTTTTGAGATGCTCTTACTTAACTGTCAGAGTTAGTTTAGAAGAAACCAAACCCTTTTTATGTTTACATTTTTTATTATGAATTGTAGACAATTGGACATTATGCATTGAAACAGTAGCCTCTCACTAATGCCAGGGGTATTGTCCCTTCTTCTTTTCCAGGTCTTTGGTGGAAGAGTTTAGAAAGACACTCTGTGCTTTATGGCAAGGTAGCCAGACTGCATTTAGCCCAGAGTCCTTATTTTATGTTGTTTGGAAGATTATGCCAAATTTTAGGTAAGTATTACTTAATGAAGAATATTTAAAACATTAATATTAGTCTTTATGCTGTTCCTGGAACAGTTTCCTATGAAGTGGTGCTATTCTAAATAATAAGGTATTTATTAAAGACTGGTTTTATTTTATTTTTTTATTTTTATTCTTTTAGAGCGGGGGAGGGGGGAGGAGGGTTTGGGAGAGGGGCAGAGAGAGAATCTTAAACAGGCTGCATGCCTGGCGCACAGCCCGATGTGGGGCTCAATCCCACAACCCTAAGATCATGACCTCAGCTGAAATCAAGAGTCCGATGCTTAACCAACTCAGTCACCCAGGTGCCCCTTTTGTTTTGTTTTTAAAAGGAGAAGAACAGTTGGATCGTTTGACTAGACAAATGTGTGTGTTTAAATAATACATAGACATTAAAAATGTCTTTAACAAATGGTAGGATATTTTGTTCTAAAAACAAAGCCCTTATAGATAACTTATGTGCCCTTGTAAATAATTTAGGAACACATACTGGACAAAATTCCATTGATTCTTTCAAAATCTTATGATCATACACCATCATACACCATCTTGTTATTTCAACTAAAAAAAAAAAATCCAGATGTAATCTGTAGAAATGTGTAGTCTGAAATTCACTGTTCTGGGCTGGGTTCTGAAGTCAGGTCTGTTGGGATTCAGTTTGCAAATGGTAGCTGGGCCGCATCCTGATGTGGCTGTAGAGTCACTGTGTTTTCCTTGCTCTCTCTCTAGCTTCACTTGAGGAGGGAAACAGCCTTGCTGTCAGAGGAATCTGCCTCTTCTCCTAGGTTAGTCCTCTCGGTAGGGATGCAGGTAACGGCAGATTTGAGGCCCTGCAGGTGTTTGACAACAGCCTTTGCCACCTTCTGCTGATTTTGTCCTTCTGAAGCAGGTCTGTGCTCTTGCTAGTCAGGAGTTTGGCACCTAATGTACATCCCTCTCCTTTTGAAAAAAACAAAAACGAAAACACCCAGCATGCTGTATGTAGTAAGACTTAGTAGTTTATCTTGCTCTATTGCCTCATAGTGGTTTAGATATATTAGTAGTATAGAAAAATGTTTAAAAGATAGCACTGGGTGTTATATGCAAACAGTGAATCATGGAACACTGCATCAAAAACTAATGATGTAATGTATGGTGATTAACATAACATAATAAAAAAAAAAGGTAATAACCTCAGAGAACTGACATTTGTTGCCTTACTCGAGAAGTCTAGCCTTGAGGATCTGATGTGAGTGACTGTTGTTACCCCTGGTCTTTGTTTTGACGGAAACTTCTTTTATATATCGTGACATTTAAATTTCCTCTCAGAAGAGACTAATTTTGCAAGGATTTTAAAGTTTCTTGACTCCAAGTAGGAAAGGTGGAAATGACTGCTAAGTTACCACTAACCAGGTTTGGACTCAATATAACATTTCTAATATAGTCTCCTAGTTAGACTCTTGATAGGGACTTAGTCTTTGTGTTTTATTATTATATAAAATTAGTTTTTATTGAATGCTACGTGTCTAGCACTTTAGGCCTTTTATATCTGATCTTCATTAAAAAACACAACCACAAAATTCCCGTCAAGGTAGAAAGTGTTAACTCCGTTTTAAAAAAGACAAAACTGAGACAGAGGAGGAAGAACTTGTTCAATCTTACACATCTAGTAGGTGTTAGGATCAGAGTTAGAACTCAGGTCTTTGTGGAATTGGTAAAGAATAGATGTGTCAGCAGTCATTTGTCCACATGCCTGAGTGAAGCGTACCAACTCACTTTATACTGTTCTGCTTGGTTCCCATGGTGACTCAGGTCCTTTATTCTTAAGCAGAGTTTAGAAACTGTATGAAACTTTTATTCAATAGAATTCTACCTTTCCTCAAAATCTGCCCACATCTCTGCCCTTTATATAAAGTTTCTATAGCTCAGCTGTGAGCATGATCTAATTTTTAGCTGCTTAATTTTGCCCATTCTGTATCCTTAGCAATGAAAGGAAAAAACTCTTGGAGAAGGTGACGAAGTTGAGGAGTTTCTGGAGTGATTCCTAATTCACATGAACTCTTAGGTTCCTTAGTGACTGATGGGAGTAGAATGCCTGTGTATTCTTAGCAAGGCTTTCTCAGTTTCACAGTAATTGAGCTTGGTCCCCATTTTCTTGTAATCGACGAATAATTTTCTTTTGATTAGATCTAGATCTTGAGATTGGGATAAAGCTTAAGTGTAAGGTCACTGCACAACACCCAGGGGTGAGGCAGGGAGATGTAGGGCTTTCTTCCTATAGCTGTTACTCCTATTAGGTATGCAGGGTAAAGTTCCTGTAACATGGCCTGCCTGTGTGGAAGTGCCGTGAGCCTTGAACTATGTTTCTGTTATATTTATGATCACAAAATAAATTTTTATTTATTTATTTATTTTAAAGATTTTATTTATTTGACAGAGAGAGAGACAGTGAGAGAGGGAACACAAGCAGGGGGTAGTGGGAGAGGGAGAAGCAGGCTTCCTGCTGAGCAGGGAGCCCGACAAAATAAATTTTTAAAAGAGGTTAGGAAGCGCATTTTCCTTGATTAACCTATGACAAAGTCTGGGGAATTTGATCCCTTGGAATGAAATATGAGGACTCTGAAATACACATGCATGTGGAAAGTAGGAACAACTTTCATTCATTAAGTAATGCAAAAAAAAAAAAATATATATATATATAGTAAATGTAATTAACAGCTTTCGTATAGAAACCACCAAAACTGGGGCGCCTGGGTGGCTCAGTCGTTAAGCGTCTCCCTTCGGCTCAGGTCATGATCCCAGGGTCCTGGGATCAAGCCCCGCATCGGGCTCCCTGCTCCGCAGGAGGCCTGTTTCTCCCTCTCCCACTCCCCCTGCTTGTGTTCCCTCTCTCACTCACTCTCTCTCTCTCTGTCAAATAAATAAATAAATAAATAAATCTTAAAAAAAAAAAAACCCCACCAAAACTATTCTTTTTCCCCACTCAAACCAAAACCCAGTTACCCAGTGGTATAAACTTTTGCCAAAGTTTGGCCTTTCCAACATGCATATCTACTTACCACACTTCTTATGGCTTCCTAGTATGCCCTGCTTTTCCTGTCCCTTTCCTTTTCAGAAAAGTAACTTAAAGTTTATGGGTTTTTTTTTTTTTAAGATTTTATTTATTTCAGAGAGAGAGCACGTACTAGCAAGCAGAGGGGCAGAGTGGGATGGACAGAGAGAGAGGGAGAGAATCTCAAGCAGACTACACACTGCACTCGGAGCCCTAAATGGGGCCTGATCCCAGGACCCTAAGATCATGACCTGAGCTGAAATCAAGAGTGGACGCTTAACCGACTGAGCCACCCAGATGCCACTAAGTTTATGTTTTTTAAGTAGGTAAAATACAAATGGCTGAGAATTTCAAAAGGTAAAGAAAGGATATACAATGAAAGTTTTTTCTTTTACTTTATTTCCTAGCCCTTCATTTTGCTTTCTAGAAGCAGCCATATTTACTAGATTTTTGTTTATCCTTTTGTTGATATTCTGTGTGTGTGTATAATTTTAACATAAATGGTAACATACTTTTTTTCCTACTTTGAGGTAATTTGTACTAGTATCTAAATAACTTTCTTTCATTTTATGGCTGCATAATGTTATACTTTATGATTGTATCATAATTTATGTATAGTCCCCTGTCAGTGGTTATCTAGGTTGTTTCTTACCTTTTGCTGTTCCAGACAGTGCTGCAGTGGATAGTCTTATACATGCATATGCAAGGCTCTCAGAGAGCACTTGCTGAATCAAAACATATTTGCTTGGGGGTGCCTGGTTGGATCAGTTGATAGAGCATGAGACTCTTGATTTCAGGGTCGAGTTTGAGCCCCACATTGGACATAGAGATTACTTTAAAAAAAAAAAAAAGATACTTGCTTTTAATTTTGATAGTCTTTTCTGCTAGACTTTTTTTTTACTCTTTGCTTTCCTTAACATGATTTTGTCTTTTTGTCTCTGTATCTTTGTCATGTTTGTCCTATGGGATTTGTCTTGACCTCTGTCTCCGTCTTTAACTTTAAGGTCCCGCTTAATGCTAACTCTCTAGGAAAATCTCTTGATAATTCAAATTGGGTCACGGTATTTATTCCCTTGCTTCTCATATCATTTATGCGCTATTTCTACTTTCACATAAACTTATTTAATATATTTGCCTTAACTTCCCAAGGAGTTTAGTTTTGTTTTTATCAGTTCTTATTGTAATTAGTGTTTAAAAATGATAGGTGAATAAATTCCTAAAACCTTCTTATTTCTACTAGCTATTCTACTTGGCTTTGTAGAAAATATAAAAGATCTTTGTGGACAACAAATGGGTCTCTGCATGTGATATCTTAATAATCTTTCTAGGTATACTGATGATATTTTATAAGTAAGTGAAATTTTGAAGCTCTGGATTGTATAATTGGGAATTATAATTATAATTAAATTTATAATATTAGTTCTTCTAAGAATTTTGCAGTTGTATGTTTTTTGTGTGTTTGTAAACAAAAACAGTTATTTTTGTCATTTTCATTTTCTGGTGTTTTTGTCTTGGAGAAACTCAGCTGTGGTTGATGCCACAAAATGGAGAGGAATAGCTAAATTTAATTGACTTTGGTATTATACACAATTTGGAAAAAACAACAATATAGAATTCTTTTATGAATGTTAAAGATTTTTTTTCTTAAAAGATACCTTAAAAATAAGAACAGAGCCTAAAATTATGGTGTGTCCTAGGTATTTTAGAAGTTTGTTCTAGAATGATAAAATTTGATAGGCATATCCTGTTCCTGATTGGTCTTTCCATCTTATACATTATGTACTGGTACTGCCAGAATGCAGAGAATAGTCAGTAATGCACAGGTGTATGTCCCAGTTAGGTGTGTCGGCATCATACAAGTATTTGTATGTGCCTGCATTCTGGGGTATCTGATTCAGTATTTGGATTGTCTGCTTTTCACACTTAACAAAGTAACATTTTTTCATCATTCTCCATTGGGACATTTCTTTGTAAGATTTGGGTAAATACAGCTTGTCTCCTTGTGCCAAAAGTTGTGAAGAAACGGTTGCCCCTGTATTTCTACACGTTGTGTTTCAGCCACGTCCCTCTTTCTTGGCCCCTCGTTCAGAAGGGGTTCTTCATGATCTTTTGGACTTTTATATTTGCCATGTGCTCTCCAACCATTATTTCTCACAGCATCTTTATGGCACAGAGTTTCTGTAAGCATTAAGAAGGAGGTAGGTAATCTTTACCTAAGGTTACAAACAAATTAAGAAACAGTATTAAAATCGGAGCCACTGTTATTTTCCTGTCTTCTTTTCTGTCTTAATTCCAGTCTGTCACAGAGATACCAGTTGGTTCTTTATAAATCCATTTCCTCACTGTTTTGCCAGCCCTTGTTTGGGTGGTATCACTGAGATAATTTGTATACAAAACATAAACATTGAACCTAAATGTGAGGAGTGTTCCTTTTACACGATTACCAAGGAAGAGAGACCTAAGTTGACTACCCACAAAATTTTGAGGCTCCAGATTGCATAATTGGGAAATAATTGAAAAGATAACTGAAGTTTGTTTAATTTAACTTACTAAATAGTATTTTTTTAAGATTTTCAGGTAAGTCAGTGAAGCTATTATTTGTTTAAAAATAGAGTTGTGAATGTCTGTTTAGTCAGAATCAGAAAAATTTCCTAGTCTTAGAAGAAGCTGACTTCGTGTTTTTTTTGGTAAAGACCACAAATTGAAGCATACCTTTATAAAACAGCTGAGTGTTCCATGATTTCATGTAGGTAAAATATATATATATATATATATATATATATATATTTCTAATGGTAAAGGAAACAATAGAAAATAATATGTTTTGATATAAGAAAAGAGAATCAAAAGAGTCATGGTGTGGTTGGAAACATTCATGAATGTACATTAGGCAGATTGTTTTTAAAAAGGGATGGATATGTATTTGCTGAAAGTGCAAATCAACATAACTACAAAGTACTGGTTTCATGATCCATTTTAGAAAAATGATTAGATACTAGTTTATTTTGGTGAGAAAATAAAACTATTTTTATATGTGATAGAATTTCAAATACGACCTAAGATACCTAAGATACCTCTTACCTTTGAGTCATAAAAAAAATGGATATTGTGATGAAAAAGTTTAAAGCACCTCTGTAGATATGTAAAGGATCTAACAACTTTGAAAACTTTAGACTGAATTTTAACATTTTTTTTTATAGGAGTCTTAGAAGAACTACTTGAACATATATTGAGACTCAGTTGTTAAGTAGTTCAGAAAAAGTTACAGTGAAATACTAAAGTGACTTCTGACTTAAGTTCCATTGGTTAGGTGGATGGTTTTCATAATTTATGATTTCCACGAGAAATCTTAGGGAAAGGGGAGAAATGTATATTGAGGGAAACTCTGGTTGAAAGACATCCATGGAACCATTGCCTGGAAGAGTGGTGGAAGTTTTGACTCAAGACCAAGCCAGAAATACTTGTGATTTAAAAGAAAGGAAACCTTCCATTTTGGCAGAACGTAGGCAGAAATCTTTTCTATCTAGAGTGTTATCAAGTACTTTACGTGTATATCATTGCTTGATTTATTTTATCTACATAAGCCTCTATAACCTTTAAGTGTGCCAATTTCATTTTCTGTCAGCCTTCACTTGTCATGGTCTGTATTATTATAAGAATTCCATATAGGGGCGCCTGGGTGGCTTAGTCAGTTAAGCGTCTGACTCTTGATCGCAGCTCAGGTCATGGTCTCAGGATCTTGAGATGGAGCCCCCAGTCGGGCTCTTCACTGGGTATGGGGCCTGTTTAAGAGTCTCTCTCTCTCCCCCCCATCCTCCTCCTCCCTTCCTTCCTTGGTGCTTGCTCTCTCAAAAAAAAAAAAAAATTCCATATCCTTTCCTGTCTGAATGTAGTATAAGAAATAACCTAAGAATATGTTGTTGCTTATATTCAAGTTTTAGGCTAGAGCATAATTGTATATGAGTCAATGCATTTTTTAAAGTATTTATATGAAAAATGTCTTTTGAATCAGAGATTAAGATCCGAGTATAGACTCTTTAGAAAGTTTTTCTTCCTTTCAGCCAGTGTTAAATTAGTATCTTTCAGTCTAAAAAAATTGGTTTTAAATTCCTTATCTCTTATAAGGGTGGTTTATAAGACCAAGGTTTCTGCTGAGGGCAAGATGTGACATTTTAACATTTGAGCATCTTTTGGAGAGGCCATGTGGGATAGTGGGAAAACCAGAGTCCATCCCACCTCTGTTACTCTCTTGTTGTAGGACTTAGGCATGACACGCACCCCTTCTCCTGCCCCTCAATTTTCTTCATCTCTAAAGTGAGGTCAGTTGAGATCACTACACCTCTGATTAGCTCTAATATTCTGTGTTTTCAGATTTGTTTTAGTAGAATTTTTCCTTGTAGAGAAATTTGAGAAATTTTCTTTGAAGAGCAATTTCTCTTGAAGAGAAGTAAAACCTGGCACAAGTGGGGATGAATGGTCAGGGAGCCTCACTGTGCTGAGTGCAGGGCCGCAGCCCTTCGTAGCACTTTGCCTTCCTGCATGTTTGGCTGGGCATGTGGAGCCTCCCCAGTGACGACCTGCTTCTTTTTGCTTTAAGGGGTTATCAGCAACAGGATGCCCATGAATTTATGCGCTACCTTTTGGACCACCTGCACTTGGAACTCCAGGGCGGTTTCAATGGGGTTTCCCGCTCAGCAATTCTACAGGAGAATTCTACTCTATCTGCAAGTAACAAATGTTGCATGTAAGATGTAGTTTCCTTCTCTTTTTTTTAGGAGGACCTCAGACATTTCTGTTGGTGTTATTGTTTATTCGATTTATAATGGAAGGTGGAGAGTTTTCCTGGACTTTTGCTGAAACTTTTGTGTACTTGAATTTTATACCCAAGTGGACTAGCACAGGCCTCCTGCTTCCATACCAGCGGCATCTTGTACTTGCCTCTTGGTATAGTCCTAATGGTTTTTGGTATAGACTATTTTAAAAGTTGAGGAACAACAGAAAATATTTTGTACAGTTCAGCACTTGAAAATTCCCTGCCAAATGTATGAAATAATATTTGGGAGACTTAATTTTCTATACTAAAATAATTATATTTATTCACTAGAAACAGTCTTAAAAATATTTTGAATGTGAATTTTCCTAAAATATATTTGTTCTTTAATTAAATTGAAGCATTTGTAAGTTCTCAGAATTTTTCTTGCCTCTCAATATGAACACATCAAACCTTTTAGATTGCTTTCCTAGGTACTAATACCCCAAAATATACATTGAGATTAGAAAGCTTATTTTGCTTGAGGTAGGGATGATTTACTGTTATTTCAGTCTGATTTTAATTGTAGTCTCCTTTTGTTCAAATTTTTTGAAAAGTTTTGTTTTGACCTGTGCAGGAAAGGGATTTACAAGATAAACTCCCCAAAGACAGAAAGAAAAGAGTAAGTAATTGCCTTGCAGTTCACAAATCTGATGTAGTGTTAAGTTAGGGTCCTTTTTTTTTTTTTTTTTTTTAAGATTTTATTTATTTATTTGAGAGAGAGAGAATGAGAGAGAGAGCATGAGTGGGGGAGGGTCAGAGGGAGAAGCAGACCCCCGCTGAGCAGGGAGCCCGATGCGGGACTCGATCCCGGGATTCCAGGATCATGACCTGAGCCGAAGGCAGTCGCTTAACCGACTGAGCCACCCAGGCGCCCCAAGTTAGGGTCCTTTTAATGACAGAGCAGCCTCATCGCTCATCAGGCCGTATCAGAGAAGGGCAACCGTTTGAATTGCTGTACTTTTCAAAACGTTTGGCTCTCTAGGTCCTGATAACTATGGTTCCAGTCAGAATCCAGTACAGAAGGGGAGGGATCTGTGACCTGGTAGAATTATTCTTGCTGCTAGCACCAAGTTAAAAGTAGTATTACATTAAGTGAAAAATTCTGCTTTGTATTTTATGATGACCTTTCATACACTAAGAATATTGAACTGGGCTCTATCAAGGGTAGTCTGTGTGAAGTAAGAGGGTATATGTCTTTTATTATTTTATTGGATGCCCAAGGCACCGTCATGGAGTCACATTGTGTAATAGTCCTAGGATGATACGGAAAACTCTAGTAACTAATGAGTTTTCTGTATTAACCCATATCTTTTCATGATAGTTTAAAGAGGAGTAATTTTAGGTTCCATTAGTGAGATATGATAATTTTTTTCTTTCTGTTCCTATTTGCTAAAACTACAAAAAAGGTCTCCTATGCAATATCTGTGTTTACTTGTGTAAACACATCCAACGCTACTGAAGGTGGGGATGGTAGAAATAAGTGACAGATCTGTTCTTTTTAGTACATAGAAAATCATTACTGCTATTATAAAAGACCCTAGCAGTGTAAGAGTCTGTCCAAGTAATATTTAAACACTCTTGGTAGGGATGCCTGGGTGGCTCAGTCGGTTAAGCGGCTGCCTTCGGCCCAGGTCATGATTCCAGGGTCCTGGGATCGAGTCCCACATCGGGATCCTTGCTCAACAGGGAGCCTGCTTCTCCCTCTCTCTCCCTCTGCTTGCGCTCTCTCTGTCAAATAAATAAAATCTTTAAAAAAAAAAATAAACACTCTTGGTATACAGTTATAATAAAGGGGAAATCAATTTTGAAATCATTTATGGATCTTGTTTTCAGTCATTGTATACCTAACTTAATGCCATACACATCAGATAGCCAAGACTAGATGAGTATCCTTTTCTCAGAGGAAGAAATTATAAAGGAAGAACTACATTGAGTCTAAATGTACTGCTTTTTACTAAAGCAGTTTCCATTTTAATTAAGGGCAGTATTGTATGTGAACATCAATATGAGAGGATCATAGTCCCTTGATTCCAGTAGTTTATTTGGTGTGCCCTTTGTTTATGACATAGTTCTTAAACCTGAACCCTGAAATAGCTGTTACATCAGATAGTTCCAATGCATCTTCCCTTTTTAATTTACTAAAGCTGTGTATCTTATGAACAGCTTTTTTAAAAAAAAGATGAAGCTGCAGTATATTTCTTTTGCCAGTAAAGAATGGAAGCCCTTTCATGGAAAAGGAAGCAGACCTTTAAAATAATATAATTGCTTGAGTAGTTTTTGTCAATCTCATCGTGGCAGTGGGTTTAATTTGGAGAAACTCAAAAGTACAGTTCAGTGTATTAGGAGTATGATTGTTTGCAAGTGAGAGAAACCACCTCAGATTGCTATAAGCAAAAAAAGAGCATTTACTGACTTTTTTTTTTTTTAAGATTTTCTTTATTTATTTGAGAGAGAGAGAGAATGAGAGAGAGAACATAAGAGGGGGGAGGGTCAGAGGGAGAAGCAGACTTCCTGCCGAGCAAGAAGCCCAATGCGGGACTCGATCCCGAAACTCCAAGATCATGACCTGAGCCGAAGGCAGTCGCTCAACCAACTGAGCCACCCAGGCGCCCCGAGCATTTACTGACTTAAGTAACTGCATACATAAATGCACAAAGGTTAATATATGTTTGCTGTAGTACTATTAATGATAGCAAACAACTGAACCTGGAAAACCATAATATTATATGGCTAAATTAAGAAAAGGAGCATAGTGTTAAGAGCTGTGTGACTCTGGACCAAGCTGGAACTCAGCTTCCTGGTCTGTAAAATGGGGATAATGGTATCTGCTTCATAGCTTTGTTCTGAGGATTAACTGATTTAATACATGGAAAGTACTTTGAATGGAGTTCGGCACAGAGTAAGTGCTGTTGTAAGCGTTTGCTAATCATGCTTTCATGGTATACTTTCTTGGTGGTTCTTGCGTCCAATCTGTGTTCATACTGTGGCATGCCAATCTGCTGTCAAAAAGGGTGAGGTACATGTTCAAGATATATACTTTAAAAAAAATAAAATAAAAGCAGAAGACAGGTGCGGTCCTAATTATTACGCTAATAAAAGAGCCTTGAAACAATTTAAGGGCTTTCTAATTTGGGAAACATCTGTCTGAGCACTGTACAGATACACCCCATTTCATCTTCACACCAGGCCTCTGCGGTAGGTTAGATACTATTCCTGCTGAACATCTGGTGAAGCTGAGGCACAGAGAAGCTAGTCACGTTAGGGCAGTTGGTTTTGTATCGTTCTTAAAGTGGTATATTCCTGATCTCAACAAGGAAATTATTTACAATATTGTTTTAAGTGAGCTTAAAAGCCTTGTTGATAGTAACATCTAGCACTTCAACTGTGAAGTCATGCCTCCACCAGTAATTACTAAATATGTATTAAATTTCTTTACCTCTTTTTCCCCAATCTGACAGCTGACCATCTAAAAAGTCTAAAACTATCTCTGAGCGAGGTTATTCAAAGTAAAGTAATTGAGAGCATTCCCTATGAGAGGCCTTGCAAAAATTTATAAGGTGGTTTCTCTTTTGTGAGGAAAGGGGTCCCCTTGCCCTGAGTATAGGCATGTATGTCATGTTTGTTAGTAATGGCAAATGTCCAGTCAGTGTTAGTGGCTCTTGGAGAAATTAGGGGGCTTGAAAGTGGGGCTGTGGAGAGGCTAGTGGCTTAAACCTTTTATCTAGTATACCTTTATATAGCTTTAAAGTTTTTGTATTATTTCATAATTTAAATAAAATTAAATAAATGATATACATATTCCCCCCAAAGAAGTATAGCAGCTTTTATACATATTTATTTTAGTTTTTTACTGATATATTTTCCTGTGTGGTGATTTTCTTTAGAAATGGAGCATCTACGGTTGTCACAGCTATATTCGGAGGTATTCTCCAAAATGAGGTTAACTGCCTCATATGTGGGACAGAATCTAGAAAGTTTGATCCATTCCTAGGTAAGACATTTGGCATGTGGTGATATGATATTGTATTAAAATTTTAATGTTTCCTTTGAAAATTTAAGACAGTATGAGATAATTGTAAGAATACATCAATTTTTGAAATTCTTTTCTAAGTGTCACATATGCCTCTAACAGCTATTTTCCTATTTTCTTTTAAGACCTTTCATTAGATATTCCAAGTCAGTTCAGAAATAAGCGCTCTAAGAATCAAGAAAATGGACCTGTTTGTTCATTACGAGGTAAAGATACTTTAATGTTGTAGAATTCTTATTCCCTCTGAAATAGCTGAATAGACTCAAACTCCATCCGTGCTATGTTGTTAACTGTTTGAATGAATTTGCATTACTATTTAACAGAGTCAAACCTGACTGTCTCTTCCTCTCAGAAAGAAAGAAAAAAAAATTGGTGCCAGAGATATTAAGGCAAGCATAAGATATTTCTCACCTTTTTCTTTAATACTCATTTTAAAATCGAGTATCTGTAACAAACTGCTTCTGACTTAATGAAATAGAACTTATTCTGTGGATGTCCCACTAGTATCCATGGGAGGAAAGAATACTTAGCTAAGTTTAATAAGTTATGGTGTTATTCTTTGCTATGATTAATAATTTTAGAAATCTGTTGATGATACATCTATTGGTTAAGCCTGAGGCTCTGCTTTTAATTGAAAACTGTGAGATTTGGAACAGATTTTTTCCTGGATTACTGTTAACTGCCTTTGTCAAGGCAAAAAGACCGATCTTTGACCAGTCACTAAAGTGACTAATCGTTCTTGTTGGTCATAAAAAGAAACTAGGATAGGAAAAAGAGGGCCTAGTGTGTGTTCTATCATTAAGTAACTCTACACTGAAGGCAAATAACATAATTTCTACCCTGATTTGTCTGTTGACTAAAAGTAATTTTTTCTTCAACTGTTCTAGAGAATTTTGTCGTAAGGATTTGTATATGTATATATACACACACACAATCTTTTCCTATAGGAGATTCTAATTGGTCCAAAACTGCACTGTCCACTGTGGTGAAGTCACAGATGGTTGGTAAAATGTAAATTAAAATTAAAAATGCAGTTGCTTAGTTTCACTAACCATATTTTAGGTGATCAGTAACCACATGTGACTAGTGGCTATTGTATTGGACAGCACAGATGCAGAACATTTCCATTATTGCAGAAAGTTCTATTGGGCAGTACTGCTCTAGAATTATTCTGCTGCTCACTTGTTCTCGGAAAAAAAAAAAATTCTAGTAAAAATATAACTGTTGGGGTTGGGACAGGCAGAATTCTGTGTCACAGGTGCACTGGGCAGCATTGGGCTTGTTAAAAGAGGAGTAGCAGAGGTCTTGCTTATAGCCCCATTCCTCAGATAGTTTCTTGAAATCCCTCGGGGTGACTGTCAAATACACTGGACTACTGTAAGACAGGAAAATAACTCCGTATATGAAAACATTTTGTAGATATTTTCAGTTGTTCCCCACCTTTGCAACAGTGTTGATGGTCTCTTTTGAACAGGAGTACTGGAGAAATTTAAGGAAGCCCCATCCATTCCTCTTCCCTCTAAAATAGATGGTTTTGAAATACAGGTTTTGAAAATATCACAGTATACTTGGTATCAAATGTGAGATTATTTTCTCTTTATGTTGATGACATGAGAGTACAAGCTAACCTAATCATAAAACAAACATTTGGTCATTTAGAGAGGAAAGCAGTGAGAGATTATTAAAGGAATTAGCCTCAAACTCTATAATCTGACCTGGATATGGCTTCATTTTATAATTTTTTCAAACATTCCTTATTTCCTAAATAAAACTAAGTGGAGATGATCTTTGGAAGACCCAGAGCCATTGGTTTCTTCAGGCTTCTTTCTTCCTTCTGCACTGTGTCCCCCCCATTCTGCATTGGTCATATAACATGGTTCTCATTGTCCCCTGTAGCATTTCACTTACTACCTATCCCAGAATGCTTTAATATTGAGAGACCTTACTTTCTTGAGACTGTCCAGGAGGAGATTGTATGACATAGCTTAAGTGGTTGGTTGGTACCACAAACAAGTGGCAAATGGCATTTGTCTTGCTTCCCAAGTCGTATTTTTCTTGGCATAGACTCACTGAAATTTGATGTGATTGGGATTTAGCTTCAGGGGGCCCAGACCATCCTGAGGGGTTTCGGGCTTGGCTGGAAACAGGTTTCCTGCATTCTCAGAGGGCTTTCCTTTGAATTTTCAGACTTGATTTTTATGTTGTTAAAGAGCTTACTGTTGGCTTAAAAAACTAGATGGTAGAGTCATATTATCAATTAAGGGTACTACTTTTTTTGGACATCCAGAGTGTGATGAATTTTAATTGATATATGCATTTCTTTATTAAACAGAGTCGTAATCGATTACATTTTACATGCTTTTACATGCTTTAATGCAAGGATTACTTGTGTGCTTTTTGGAATAATTGACAAGCTTCGTTTTCATTTAGAAAGGAGTGATGATGGTGAGAAAGATCCCTGGAATTTGAAATTATTTAACTAAAAACATGCATATTAGGAGAGGCTAAGATAATCCTAAAGCTGACAAAGGTACCATAAAAAAGGAAAGATACTATTCTAGACCAAAGAATCTCATATAAAATTAGCTAATACTATAGTAAAATAACAGATCAAGTAGGATTTCTTCCAACCATATAGGACTGCTATATCGGGAAAGAAGAATTTTCTCTGGCCGTCGAAGTCCTTCTAGCTGGACTAAGAACCAAGTTGACATGAGGCAGATGAGGAGAGTATCAGATTTAATTTCGTATGTATGGGGAATCCACACAGACATGAAATTCTGAAGACCAGCAACATGAGGCTTCTATGAACTAAGGAGAAGGGGTAGGAGTCTGAGGATACAAAGGGGAGAAAGACCATTAGCAGGAAGGTGAGAGGAAATGTTTGGAGAATAAAGTTTGTCCTCTTAGGTAAGTTTCTTTGGTAAAGCGGAATCTCTTAACAGTCACTTCTTGGTACAGGCTCTCCCCCTTCCAATGTAAATTTAGGCCGTTGAGGGGGAAGCCTGAATTTCCTGGGTTTTGTTTGCTTTTAACTCAAAATAATGTTCATGCCAAAGTGGCCCATTTGGGGTGTCCTGCCCTGGGCCCCTGCAGTTTCCTCCTCCGAAACTTCCCTGAAATTTCACACATTAAAATTGAGCTAGCCGCTTGTTTGGTCTTATTGAACCAGTCCTGGCCATAGGTCAGTTCAGACTCATTTCGGGAGGCAGTGATGCAAGTTAGGCCTAAGGTTCAAGCAATCAGGTATTAAATAAGAGGCATTTCTGTGGAAACAAAAACACTGGTTACTGATTGGATCAAATTATAAACCAATTTCTGAATTTTGAGGTTAGTCAAGATGATTTTTAGATGTTAAGCTTGAACCATCTTTAGTGCGCAGTGGCAGTCTGACGGATTTTCCTGGTTTGTAGTTCAAATGTCTCTGGTGATCGTTTTGAGTGGCCCACAGAGCAACAGGCATGAAGATTGCCTATAGGAGAGCTGTTGTGGTGATTTCTCGGAAGTTTACTAAGTTAAGTTTGTAGGGCTTCTTAGTTCTCGGATAAATCCAACGTAGAAGCTTGGAAGAAAAATAAAAAACGTTACTTTGGAGAATTATAATCAAGCACTGGAGGAAATTAGAAGAAATCAAGATCTAGTCCAGTTTCTAATGAACAGTATTACAGTTTAATATTTACTCAGATGTTACTGAAACCTATTTTCTCTATAATCACCCTTTATAGATAGCCAAATGAATACTAATTTGTTTGCAAAATAAGTCGTTTCAAAAAAACTTGGCCTGATCATTTACATGGGTGTGGCAAGAATAACAGTTGATTAGGTAGATTCTTTAAAACCTGCTGGACCTTTTTCAAGATTGAAGTTTTAACAGCCTTTTGAGGCCAGAAGCCAAGCCAGATACTTGCTGTCAGAACTTCTGCTGCAATACCTATAGATTTGGGTGAATTCCTCTCTGCTCGAGGTCTCCAAAGTATTCTGAGGTTCCTGTATTTGCCAGGGAGTGCGAACCTTTACTCACTTGGTAAGGCAGCTGGGAACTCTGTAAGCAGGGTAACAAACTGGTACTTCTGGGGGCTTTACTGGCTTCTTAAAGTTAACCTGGTTCCTTCAAGCTGTCTGGTCATAGCTGAGGTTATGCATCTCTCTCAAATAGGACACTCCAGTCAAAGCCTTGGTTACATGACAAATGTTTCCAATTGTGTCCTGTTATAAGGAGAACAGAATTGTATTGAACTTATGCAAATATAATACCACCTAGAGTTTCTGAATTCCGGAGAGTTCAGGTAGGGAGAAGGATAAAGATATATTCTGTTTCTCTTAAGCTAATTGACTTAGAGCAATTTAACAATTTAAAGTCTGGAAAAACAAAGCATTTTAGAAAGGCAGCAATGTTTTAAAAAGTCATAAAGAACTAAAAAGGATAATTTTTCAGTTCCATATTATTGTTTTGCTTAAATCCAGTTTTTCCACTAGTTCAGAAATTCTTACCAGTTTTATGAACTTAAGGCACATTTGCAATACCATCAGAGTAAAATAGTAACTGTATTAGAGTTCATTATGATGCAGTTGACAAGGAAATTTTGACTCCCAACACATAACAATGTACTAGGACATCAAGTTTCTCAGAGTTTTATACAGTTTTAGAACACTTAACATATCTACATAAATACAATCTAAGAGACCTATCTGGAACACCTTAGATTGTGGTCAAAAGACTTCATTTTAGGATCTGATTTTAGGAAATACGTTAAAAAACATTGAACAGGGGTGCCTGGGTGGCTCAGTCGGTTAAGCGGCTGCCTTCGGCTCAGGTCATGATCCCAAGGTCCTGGGATCGAGCCCCGCATCGGGCTCCCCGCTCAGCGGGAAGCCTGCTTCTCCCTCTCCCCCTACTTGTGTTCCCTCTCTCCTGTCAGATAAATAAAATCTTAAAAAAAAAAAAAAATTGAACAGTTTGAACATTTGATTAACAGGATCACAGGTCATTATGAAACGATATTTAATTACCTAACCAAAAGATTTCAAAAGGCAAAAAGGCAAAAATATAGAACCTTACATAATTTTGAGCAAAATTTAGCTTTAGTATTAAGACTCAGTTTTCTTAAAGAATCAAAGACTCGATAAATTATTTTGGCAAAACACAGAATCCTTGATTTCTAAACATAACTTTTAAAGGAAAAGAAAATTCTATTAAGAGCAGATCTGTAATTTGTCCTTTTAACAAAAAAATTTCAACTTTGCAGTGTATTTTTGATATTAAAACTTATTAATTGTATCCTAATCTCAGCCAGTACTGATCATACATAAAATCCCTTTCCAAAGATTCCTTTTTCCGTAAACCTTCTGGAACTTTATTTTTAACATTCAGCTCTTGTTCTGGGTTTTCCCCTCTTCTCCCCTCTTCAATTTTCTTTTCCCTTAACAAAAATGTATTTCTGTTCCTCATACCCTTTTCTACTAAAAACACTTCGTTCTTTCCTTGCATAGGGAATTGTTTCCCTTATTATTTCTAGTAGTCTTAATTACATTTATTAGAATTCTTAACTCTTAGAAACCTTAATTTCTAGTGAAAACTAAGTAGTAGGCAATTTTGAACTGTTATACCAGTATTCTTTAGAATAGCAAATTTGTGAATACATTTCATAATTTCTAAGAATGTGCTTTTTTCATAGTACAGTTTTTCAGTAAAGCACAAACCAGGTTTACTAACAGATCCATATTTATCTTTAGTTTCTCTGTAATAATACACAAATTAACCTATTGACACCTATTTTCTGAACCTATATGTTCAGTACCTAATGTTTTATTATTTTACTTTATCTGGAAATGATTTAGTAAAAAAAAGTGTCAGGTTGCCAAGGATTTTGGAGTTTAGAAGCTATGTAAAAGTTTACCTACCAACTTTTTTTGGGGGGGGGGAGAGGGGGAGAGAGAGACTCTTAAGTAGGTGCCATGCCCAGCACAGAGTCCGACCTGAGATCATGACCTGAGTTGAAATCTAGAGTCGGACGCTTAACAGGCACCCCTGCCTACAAACCTTTTTCTCTTATTTACACCTGTTTAATTTGCTTGTTCTTATGTTTAGATTACCCACAAACCTTCATAAAGCATTAGACAAAAATCAATCACTATTCTAAGTTTTTTTTTCTGCAGAGATGAACTTATTTGGCTTTCAGTAAACACAGAATCTCAGTCATATATTTAATGCTGGTAACGCTAAAGACCTTTTTTCTTAATTAAACCAACAACCTAAAATTAGCTTTAATACTGAATATTTTCCCAGATCATTTGAATTTGGGTTAGTTTCTATCTTTGAGTTTTGGAATTCCCAATACTTATAAGTGCTTGACTTCTCAAACCAACTAAAAAGAGCTCTTTTACAAATTAATTTTAGTGATACCATCGGGAGGTAAAGAAAATATCTTACATTTATAACGTGGACACACAGACAAGATGCAAACAAAATATCATAGCTTTTGTTTTTACTAATATTTGTGGAGAGGACATTAAAGGCCCAATTTCTAAATACTTTTTTTTTTTTTTGATGAAAAATTTCTCTAAAGTTTGTATTTCAAAGAATGGCTCTTAGGTCCTAGAGAAGATGGGAATAGAAAACACGTAACGAACAGAGAAAGAATCCCAAGTTTTTTCCAAGGTGGAAATCTGGAGCAAATCGGCTTATTACAAGAGGTCCTGGAGTCTGGGCACAAGAGGCATTTTAGAAAGGCTTCTTCCCCCCATTTTTTCTTCAGTCTCAGGTGATTGTGGGCTGTGTTTATATTTTAAAGACATGGTAAAATTTATCATATCAAGAAACTGAGAAAGAATGCCAAAAAATTTTTTTAGTTTCGGGGCAACTGCACTTTTAAGTACAGGACAATTTTGTTCCAATATCCTGATCTTTTATAATAGCTACAAACATTTTAAGGGCAATAAGTGAGAGTTAGGGATCGGGAAAGAGGGGTGGGCTTTTGACTTGTTTCTAGAGTTGCATTTCTGGTTTTGTACAGATTGGTAAGGCAGTTTTTTTTTTTTTAAGATTTTTAAAAATTTATTTATTTGACAGAGAGATAGCATAAGTAGGCAGAGTGGCAGGCAGAGGGAAAGGGAGAAGCAGGCTCTCTGCTGAGCAGGGAGCCCGATGCGGGGCTCGATCCCAGGACCCTGGGATCATGACCTGAGCCGAAGGCAGCCGCTTAACCGACTGAGCTACCCATGTGCCCCAAGGCAGTTGTTTCTAATTCCCAAAGAACTGGATAGAGCTTAGAATATCAAGGGATTGATCTGCCTTTTTAAACTCAACTTGTGGGGTACCTGGGTGGCTCAGTTGGTTAAGCGACTGCCTTCGGCTCAGGTCATGATCCTGGAGTCCCGGGATCGAGTCCCACATCGGGCTCCCTGCTCAGCTGGGGATCTGCTTCTCCCTCTGACCCTCTCCCCTCTCGTGCTCTCTCTCTCTCAAATAAATAAATAAAATCTTTAAAAAAATTTTTAAAAAAATAAACTTTTTTTTTTTTTTAGCAGGGAGATTTTTTTTTAACTAAAATGGTAAGCAAAATAAAGCATTTTAACAAAAGCCTTCTTGCAGCATACATAATTCGATCTTGGCTTCTATTAGCCCCTGAATGTTGGCCTTTCAAAGATTCAGTGGGGGTGGCTAGGATCCATCTGCTATGTACATTGCAAAGGAATGTCCGAAGCTGGCAGAGCTTGCTTACAGAGCTCTAGAAGGTAGGAGCAAAGCGAGCCTTATTGCCAATCTCAGGTGCTTTTGTTAAATTCATTTCCTGGCTTTCAGCTTTTATGTGAGCAGTCTGTATACTTTGAACATAGAGATTTGGTCCTTATAAATCTCGTAGGGAAAGGGGAGTTAAAAAAAAAAATCTGGCCTCATCTGCTTGTTTTAAGATTTTATTTATTTATTTGAGAAAGAGAGAAAGCGTGAGCACGCATGAGCTGGGAGAAGCAGGCTCCCCGCTGATCAGGGAGTCAGACCTGGGGCTCAATCCCAGGACTCTGGGAACCTAACCTGAGCTGAAGGCAGACCAGATGAGGCCAGATTTTAAGGGAATTTTACTTTAGAGGTAGACATTTATTTTTTAGTCTTCTCTTCATCTTGTCAAGGGAGTCCCTAAGGCATGCTTATACCAGTAAGACGAATGTTTTTCAATATAAGCAATTTAAAGACCATTGATGAATAATTGTTAATGGCAACTCCAACCAATAAGTCTTTTAATGGCTGAACCAGAGATGGAAGAGGCACCCAAAGAGGACATAGATCATGGCCCCCGTGGTCTAAAAGTTTGCTCCCAAAATTAGTGTAAGCAAGCAAAGGCCTTCATTGCATAGGCGGGAAGGATGGTGAAAATGGGGTCTCTGGTCTCCCATGAAAATACAAGAGATGTGCTGCAGGATTGGGGACTGTGTGTTGTTTAACAGTGTACCTTGTTGCAAGGAAGTTTGCTTGAGGATAGTAAGTGAACTAGTGTCAGTCTAACCTGTTCCGTGACCAGCTTAGCTTTCATGAGAGTCTTCTTGAGGTGGTGAGCGCTCTAGTAGCTTTTAAGTGCTTGATCTGTATCCACCAATTTGGGGGCTTTAGCTTCCAAGATGCCCTTTAACAACAGTCTTTACCTTTTATGTGCACAAAGTTCATATGACAAATGACTTAAAACACAAGCAACGAAAAACCCAGAAAACCAACCAAACTCAAAGACTATCTCTGGGAAGAAATGAATCTGTAACCAAAAAGAGTACTCTACCAAATTTAACCAGAGACAATTTAATCAATTTAATAACTAACCCCAAGGAGGTAGGTTCCACAAATATTTTCTCCTGCTAATTTAAATGTAGCAAGAAAGAGAAGGACTCTCACCACTCCTGCTCTTTCGGACTGTGCAGATAGAGATTCTGGGAGGTTGACAGGGTAAGAAATCTTACCTTCTGCTGGCTGTATGTCAGATGTCCCAAGGACTTCAGTTGCAGTCATGTCCAGCAAGTTAAAGTGTCCTGCTGACTGTGTCAACTGTTGGAAGAATTTCCTCTGCCCTTCAAGGTCTTTCTTGCTGGACGAAGAACCAAATTGATTCAAGAAAGAAAATCAGATTTAGTTTTGTATGTACAGGGAATCCACACAGACATGAGATTCCAAAGACAGGCAACATGAGGCTTCTATGAGCCAAGGAGAGGGGTACGGGTCTGAGGAAACAAAGGGGAGAAAGACGATTAGCAGGAAGGTGAGAAGAGATGTTTGGAAAACAAACATTGTCCTGTTATTTAGGCAGAGAAGTTTCTTAGGTAAAGAGGAATCTCTTCCTGGTATAAGCAGGCAGTTGAGGAGGTAAGAGCTTTTCCTGAACCTGCTGGGTTTTGTTTGCTTTAACTCAAAATAATGTTCATATCAAAGTGGCCCATCTTGGGGCGGCCTGCCCTGGGACCCTGCAGATGTAATACTAGAAAATATAATTTAATGGGAGAAGATAAAAATGGTTTTGATAAAATTTCAAATCTATTACTGATTAAAAGAAGAAGGAAAAAAGCCCTTTTATTAGCTCTTATTAAGCTAGGAATAGAAAGTTAACTTGATGGAGATTATCTATCAAAAGCTATCTGGGGCACCTGGGTGGCTCAGTCATCGGGCCTTCAGCCCCATCGGGCTCCCTGCTCAGCGGGAAGCCTGCTTCTCCCACTCCCACTCCCCCTGCTTGTGTTCCCTCTCTCTCTGTCTCTCTCTGTCAAATAAATTAAAAAAAAAAAAAGCTATCAGTGATCACCGTGGTTAACAGTGAAGCACTAATGATTTTCCATTACAGTGTGGAAGCAGTCAGGAGTCCTGCTGCTGAGAGACAAGGCAATAGACAAGGAGAGCAGCACTGGGCAGGAGACCTGCTTTTCTGAAAGCTCTCGATTTAAAAAAAAATTAAATACAGGTATTATTTTGATAAATTCTAAACTTGGAGCTAAAAAGTTTAGTTATGCAGCCAAATAAAAAATAGGCAAAAAACCCAATTGCTTTACTACACATAGCAAAAGATCCTATTCACAGTAGCAGTAAAATCTTAAAAACACTCAATAAATTTATTGAGAAATATATAAGGCCTAGATGAAGAAAAGTATAAAACTTTATATTAGAACAGATAAAAAGCCTGAATAAACAGAGCCATGTCATATACTTGGAGAGGGAGACCAATAATATAGAGATGTCCGTTTTCCCCCAAATTACTTCCTAAATTTATTCTAATTTGCTCAAAAGTTCCTAAGAAGAAATTTGTTTTAAAGATTTTATTTGAGAGTGAGTGCACATGAACAGGGGGAGGGGTGGTTGGAGAGGGAGAAGCAGACTTCCCACTGAGAGCAGGGAGCTCAATGTGTTGGGGGGGGGGGGGGAGGGCAGGGAGACTCGATCCCAGACCCTGTGATCATGACCTGAGCTGAAGGCAGACCCGACTGAGCCATCTAGGTGCCCCAGCAGAAAGAAATTCTTAAGCTTAAAAAGTTTTTTAAATGAGGAAGCAGGGGTGCCTGGGTGGCTCAGTTGGTTAAGTGACTGCCTTTGGCTCAGGTCATGATCCTGGGGTCCCAGATCGAATCCCACATGGGGCTCCCTGCTTGGCGGGGAGTCTGTGTTCTCCCTCTCACCCTCCCCCCTCTCACACTCTCTCTCTAAAATAAATAAAAATCTTAAAAAAAAAATGAAGCAGGATAGAGAGAAGGTAGGAAATGTCCCATGCATACTAATTTAGCAGGTACTGGTACAGAAAGGTGTATATGGGAATTTATTATATAGCAAAGAAAAAATTTCAAATCAGTGGAGAAAAAAATTAGTCAATACATAGTGAAAATGAAAATTTGGGAAAACATTAATTTCATCCCTAACTTCCATCTTTTCTGAAATTTGAGGTTTCAAGATTTACTATAAATTTAACCATAGGACACTATAGGCAAACATCATTTTGAACTTGTAGGGGAGATCTTTCACCAAGACCAGAACTCAGAAAGGAAAAAAATTTCATAAATTTAACTGCATAATTAAGGTTAAAGTAGAAAAGGAGAGGACATATGAAAAAGAGTACTTGGTAAAGTATATGAATAAGAGAAATGCAAATGGTCGATTTAACATTTACCTAAACATTCAAGAAAGTATAGGTAGAGCAGATTTAGTCAACATGACAAAGGTAATATCCATTGTTAGTATAGGTTTTGGGGAGTGGGCACTCTCACATATTGGCGTTAGTATAAATTGGTAGTTTGGGAGGACAGTGATTACTTTTTTTTTTAAGATTTTATTTATTTATTTGAGAGAGCACACATGAGAGGGGGGAGGGTCACAGGGAGAAGCAGACCCCCTGCCGAGCAGGGAGCCCGATGCGGGACTCGATCCAGGGACTCCAGGATCATGACCTGAGCCGAAGGCAGTCACTTAACCAACTGAGCCACCCAGGCGCCCAGTGATTACCACTTTTAATGAGCATTTCCTTAGACATTGTAATTTTACTTGTGAACGTGGACAATAACACCTGTAAAAGATGTTCACTGAAGCATTCTTTGTTATTGCAGAGATCATAAGCAATTTACATGCTCACTAGTAGGGCACTGGTTTAATAAGTAATACTGTTTAGTAATTAAGAAAGATAAAGTTGATCAATAGCCAGGCCACAGAAAGATAGCTACAAAATACTGTGGAGTAAAACACTATCCATGGAACTATGTCTATAGAATGATTCCATTTGTGTAAAATAAAAAACATTCATATGTGCATTAAAGTCTTGAGCAACATACTCCATCTGTTCACAGTGATTTCTTAGGGGTAAGGATTCCAGAAGAAAGTGAACTGTGACTTCCTTTTTCCTGCTCTTTTATGTTGTTTGAATTTTTTAACCTATTGTATCACCTTTATAATTGTATAATTGCTTTGGGGGAGTAAAACAAAATGATTAATTTATACATACTTCCCAATTACTGCTTTGCTATAAGTTAAATTTATATAGTACATAAAGGGGATCTAATAACATCAACAAACCAGTTTTATTCCCTGCTCTCCATAGGGATGTATTTAACAGTTTATATAATGTGGAAGACTGACACTTGTGAAATATATGCCCTGAAACCCTTGAGAATCTTAGGAGTTTCAAAAGCCATCATGACATTTTTTTTTTTTCTCATGAAATGCAATAAAGTACAAATGAAAAAAGTTTAAGCAGCTTCCTCATATGGGCAGTGTGAAGGTAAGTGGAGAACAACAAAGCTTTGCGAGATGTGAATGCTGGGTAGCTAGTAGTTTCATGCTGCTGCAAAAGATTAAACTAATACATTTCAGGGTCATTCAGACTTCAGATGTTAAAATGGCAGGTGTCAAATCTGTGATGTCAAGGAAAGGCTGTACCTAGGCAGTCTTCCTCTTTAAGAAGTAACTGTGTGCATGTATGTTTCAATAATAAAAATTGAAGGACATAAGAAAGTTTGTATATTCATTGTAGAATTTAGGGAAAATTCAGAAGAGTACAAAGAGGAAAATAAACGTCCCTCCTAAGTCTACTATCCGGCAATACCATGGTTAAGGACTATTTTTTCATTTAAGTAAGCTCCACCCCCAGGGTGGAGCCCAACTCAGGGCTTGAACTCAGGACCCTGAGATCAAAACCTGAGCTGAGATCAAGAGTCAGATGCTTAACTGACTGAGCCATCCAGGTGCCTCAAGGATATTTTTATTTAAAAACTGATTTAAAAGTTTTTGTTTTTTTTTTTTTTAAAGACAGCAATTGGAAATTTAGAATTATTCTGGGTTATTATTGTTTTAACCCATACAAGTCATTACAAATAGGCATTAGTTTTAGGGAGAGCTAAAAAGAAGCTTTTAAAATCCATGTGGAGATGACTATGTGGGTAGTTCTTTACTAATCCAACTAGGGTTTACAGTGTTGTTTCTTTATTAAAACTCTCTAGAGGCTGCCTATGGACACAGCAGTCTTCTGAGCTTCTGATGCGGCTGTGACAATGAGGCTGCCTCACTGTCTGAGGGTACAGCAGCAGATGTGGGCTCCTGAGCCTGCTGTAACAACAGAGAGAGAGGCGTGAGAATACAGGATGGCTCTTAGAAGCAGTTGGGACCACCATTTTTAAATTGAATGTTTGAAAAACCAGGTTCAGCTTGTATGGCTTGGTTATGAATTGTCTAGTGAGCCTTTCATATCTTCTCTTGTATTTTGGTTTATCACATGGCCTCACAGGAAAAGGGGAGAACTGCATTATCTTATGCATAAATCAGTTTGGGACCACTTGGTGGTTACCCTTTAAGTTTAAGCCTCTCAAAAAGGCATGGAGCAAAATCTGCCATTCTATGCCCCCACAGCTGTGGCAGAGAGGCTAATTGCAAGCAGCTAGGCTGAATGTGGGTTTCACCCTACAGTGAGTCCAGGGTGGCCTCAGACAGGCATCTCAATGGCATAGGGACCAAACTCTGCAGTGCATCTACAGCAAGCAAAGTGGGTCATTGCAGCTCCCTAGGCTGAAGACTGTTGCAGCTTACCCACGATAGTAGGTCACATGTAGCCCACATAGAGGGCTCCCTTGGAGTGCCTGGTTCTGGTGACCTGAGAGGGACGCTGTGCTACAGAGCACCACAGACCTCTTCTACACAAGGCCACCACTTTCAAGACCAGGAGATGTGGCTGACCTGATAGAAAGTTACAAAATGTAAGTAGAGAGAGAGATGTCCCAAATGAATGAACAAGACAAAATCACAGTAAAAGAGTGAAATAAAATGGTAATAAGCAGTATACCTAAGAATTGAAAGTAATGGTCATAAAGATACTCACTGGACTTAAGAGCGGATGAACTCAGTGACAACTTAAAGATAGAAAATATAAAAACCAGAGAGAGCTGAAGAATTCAATAACTGAAATAAAAATACACTAGAGGGCGCCTGCATGGCTCAGTTGGCTGCCTTTGGCTTGGGTCATGATCTCGGGGTACTGGGATGGAGCCCGCATCCGGCTCCCTGCTCAGCGGGGAGTCGGCTTCTCCCTCTCCCTCTGACCCCCCCTCCCCCCCTCCCCCACTCATGCTT